TTTTGACATAATGGGACTGAAAATATTTTTTCAAGATCAATGTGCCATTTAATGTAAGTTTAGACCACTATTCTTTGTACAAAATTTCAGATCATTCGCACACTTTGTTTTCCAGAATAATTATTCAAATTGTAAAATAATGACCAAAAATGAAAAGCGTTTAAACAAGAAAAGCATAACAATACGATTTTCAATTTATTTTAAAGTATATTTCTTAACTATCATTGCATATATTTCTGTTTAAAGTGCCCCAGTTAATTAATGTAAGAAATTCAAATGTTATGTTTTTAGGCTTTTAAACCTCAGTAGAGTCCCTTTAATATATTAAACCTGTTTCAGCCATCAGCACCAGGATTAGGTATTGCCAACTTTGCCTTTTTTTCCCCAATGGGAACTGATAAAATTGTTTTTAATTCTAGGTAATATTAGACTATTATTTAATCTTGATAAGAAATTAGATGAAAATTATTGAATTTTCACATATTTTTTATGTATATATCACCTTAAATGATTGAAAATTCTAGTTTGTATTTGTATTTATAGAATTAATTAAATTGTAAATAAATTTCTTTACTGGAGCCTGTCCTTGTGGGGGATCACAGCTGTTCTGGTTCATTGGTTGCCGTGGTGACATCTCAGCTTTCTCCTCTTCACGACGCTTAAGACAAGCTACCTTTGGGTTCAAGTTTCTTTCTGTAAATAAAATCACGTAAAATCAATTAGTAGTATTACAAAAGCATTTCACAAACCTCTTTAATAACAAATGATATGATAAACAAGATCAACAAGGAAAGGCGGCGTTCAATGAACGCAACCCCCATATGACCCAGCCACAAGAACCAGTGGCAAGGAGCCCAGGCGGACCCCAAACAAAAACAGGACAGGGCAAAGACAGAGCACGGACAGGTTAATCATTAAATGATAATTAATTTGTAACTGATTAGGAATTCAAAGAAAAGAAAAATAGGCCCACAAAGGGGAAGGGGACAGGAGACTGGGGGAAGGGGGGGGGGTGTTTATCAAAGAAATAAAAACTAGAGGCAATGGGGAAGATACTTACCGTAGACAAGAAACCAACAAGGGACACAAGCAAAAGTGTCACCAAAACAGTATGAAACAACATAGACATACAAAGATTTGCTTTGAATATAAGAAGAAAATGTTGAAAACTGAATTATCGTACAATGCGTTATAATTTGATATAAAGAACTAACCAAAACAAATTTAAGAAAAGTTTACTCTCTCCAGTAGAAACATGAAAGTTTAGAAATATGATGCCTAAATATGACTTTTCTGCAAAATGCAGCCAATAATGTCAATCATGTCATTACTGATAAGTAAATGTATTCAAATTTAAATGATCTCTGAATAAAAATGCCAATTTTTATTTCATTTAAACATTTTAATGTGTTGCAATTATATAAAAATAATTCAATTTCGCTGTGTTTTGGTGACAAGTAAATTTTCCCCTATGTTACATTGATGCCATAAGAAAGTCTTACTGCTGACTGCTCTGTGAAACAGTCACGGTGAAAATAACAACCGTACCTCTGACTTGAGATTCTAATGTTGTTATAATGTTCACAGCTTGCTGTAGGATCATCTGTTTTGTCATTGGCTGCGTTGACCCACAATGCATGGTTACCATGGCTCCCAGTTCCTTCACAGCCTCATTGATATCTCTAACCCTTACTCTGAAAAAAATAATGTTTTAACTGTTAATCTTGTATATCACAATACGCGAATTAGAGAAGGATTAATTAACTGTGAGCACAGTCACTCATTAGTAACACAGACAGGTTACCAGTCCAGGTGGTCACAGGTTCAATCTCCCACAATCTCCTGCTCCTCCAACTAAGAATTACAAATAGTCCTGTACTGAGACCTTTAAAGGAACTCCACTGAGGTGCAAAGGCCCAAATGCCTAAAATATAAAATTTGAATTTCTAACAAAGATCAGCTGTGGTACTTAAAACAGAAAGATATGCGAAATACAATTAAGACATATACTCAGAAATAAATAGAAAACAGTATTTTTGAGCTGATCTTAGTCCAATTTAATTTTTTCATCATTTTTCACAATTAGAATAATTATTCTGGAAAAACAGAGTGAGCGAATGTTGTGAAATTTTGCATGTTAGTTTTTGGTCTACGCCTGCATCAAATGGAACATTAACTTTGAAAAATTATTTCCAGTGCTGTCATGTAAAAAAACCTCAGTGGAGTCCCTTTAAGGAAATTAGTAGGTCCTGAGTAATATGCTTGACATCTTGCATGCTAATAAAGGATAAGTATTGTTGTTTGTTTATTAACAATAACGTTCAATTAATGTTTGATTTTATTAACCTGTCAATTACATACTGATTACTCGGTCAATGCACACAATATATTAATCTTCGGTAGATTTTCGGTAAGTTTCGTGAGATGTACACTGTACGAGGGAATTTAAATAAGTGGACTGACCGTTATAGCGCAATAGGGTAAAGTATGAGTTTATAATCTAAGTGCCATACTTGTTTTAAGTTCGAGACCGCGTTGGTCCATGTTTTTTTTTCCTTATTAATATTTTCATCATTATTGAAGCTATGTATGATTTTTTCTATGTTGTTAGTTTTGGTTTATTATGTTTAACTTAATTTTGTAAAGTCTATACTCTTTTTAAATAACATGGTTTAAGAATTCATGTTTAAAATTCATTCGGATTAAAATCAATCAATGTTATTTCATTGCCGTAAAACACACTACAATCGATTTATTTAAAATTTACTGCAAAAATAAAGAGAAAAAAATAGGCTTAAAACAATGTCATCAGTAAGGATCGAACCACAGACCTCTTAATTATAAGGCATTAACTTACCTGACTGTGCTATTGTGAATTAACAAAAACCTTCACATTAAGCTGATGTGACTTTCAATCCATGACTAATATACGCCACATTAATTCTCATAAAATACAGGGACCAAAGGGAAGTGGGATCGAATATTTAAATGAGTCCTATAATGTATTCATATTTGAGAGGTCAATAAAATCAGACTATAACAGCATTGACAGTGACCCAGAGGTAACACAGTCTGGTTACCAATCTAGGGATTAGAAGTTCAATATCCTACTACTTTAACAAGAAGTTAGCTATTGTCTTTCTGATGGGACATCAAAAACTGTGATTCCATGTTATAGTGCTTTGCAAGCAAAATAACCATAGATAAAACAATTTTTTGTTTTCTTCCATAATGGCGACATTCCTGTTAACAATTTCCCTATTAGACTAAAGAAATTTACTTAAAGTCTTCAAAAGAACTCACTTACTGTAAAATTCCTATTAAATTCCTATTAAACATCCCTGGGGACATAACACTTTCCAAAAGGGGGCATGTTTGTGGAGGAGGCTTTATTTGGGGAGGGACATTTAACAGGAATTTTACAGTATATTGGTTTCTGATCTTATACATGTATGAACATATATCTTCTGATGTTCTAGTTTTGACTTTATACCACCAGGTATAAGCCAGACCGACCAGCACATCCTCATTCCAAACTCAGATCTGTATAGACTATGTTGACTGCTCATTATTAATTTTTATTAATTTACTTTATTCTAATATTGAAATCCATTATTTAATAACTACTTATGGACTCCTCCAATTTCAAAATTGGAAAAAGTTCATTATACAAATTTGGCAGTGTAATGTTCAAGTAATACAGTCCATCCTAAACTGATGGTTGATGAAATCCCTAAATTACAAATGGACTCTTCCAAATTCAAAATTGGTCAAGCTCATGATACAAATTTGGCAGTGTAAGGTTTGAATAAGTCAGTCCATCCTAAACTGATAGTTGTTGAAATCCGTAAAAGCTGGACAAGTCCATTACACAAACTTAGAATGGTAAAGATTTAGAAAAACTCTAGAATAAGTATGCAGAGCAATATCCTTTGAGGAGACAAAAAAATGTTGGTTGTTTCTGAGAGGTGTTGCTCTTCAGAGGTCATATCAGTATCTGTTGTGAAGTTGTTCTTAGGTAAGAAATGATACTGTTGTTATAAAGAGGTAATATTGTATATCAAAATTTTCTGTGTAGAGATATACATTTTGTACATGTTTAGATATCAATTTAGTATGAAAGGTAACTGTTGTAGATTTTACTTTACAAATATCAAGTATTAATTTCCTACAGTAGTGGTAATTGCTACTGTTAAGAACAGGCATTCAGACATGGCAAGATGCAAAACTTATAATCCAAGGAGCTTTTTGTTTGTTTGTTTCATTTTACGCCTTTTCCCAACAGTATTTCAATCATATAGGCGATCTTAAAGGAGCATCAGATGTGTGGGTTCAAACCCCATCAGGGGCAAACCATTGTTTCCTTGAGCAAAAAAACTTGACACTCATTGCTCAGTTCTGATTGGTTCCAGGAACGGATTTTAAAATGTGTATATAAGACTTATAACTTCCCACACAATCAAACCTAATTTCTGTATGAACTAACACAAAGGTAAGTAACACCTGCAGAAATACATGCGCTTAAAAAAACTCTGTAGTTCAATAATTCTTTTTTTTTTCTCCCTCCTTGTACGTAAATGTTAATCATCATTTGAGCCGCGTCACGACAAAACCAACATAGTGCGTTTGCGACCAGCATGGATCCAGACCAGCCTGCGCATCCGCATCGAGGGTTTTCCATTTACAGTTCATGTATATTTCATTTTATTATCATGTATGATTGTATTGCTGTGGGGAATGTCCACTATTATTGAAATCTAAATATGTGATTTTATCACATACCCGTGCCGGTTTTGCGATTCATTTAAAATATATGCACGCTCGTGCATAATATGCATAATATAATTATTATATTATTTTAACTTGACGTCACTTCCGTTATACTAACAAAGCGTAACGACGAACTGAATATTATATTATAATCTTTCAGCATTCATTCACCCAATCAATCAATGTGTCATTTGATTAAACAGAAATAAAAAAGATAGATAAAGATATAAAGTAAAAAACAAACAAACAGATAGAGTATTCAATTGTTTCATTTGAATACCTAAAAATATAATTAAGTGATTAATTAAGTGAATTGTATGGGAAACCAATCAATATCTATAGGAGTCTCAGTGTCCCTTATTCGTTAATGTTCCACTCAAATAGTTTTCTATATTTTTCTAGTCCTTTGGGATCATTAAGTGTCTTGCTGGGCTCCTTGCCGGTGATCTTGTTATTGGGCATGCGTTCATTGAATGCCGCTCTTCCTTGTTGATCTTTTTTTTCATATTTTCTGATACGCACTGAAAATGCATTTCTCTTATGCACAGGCTCAGTCAAAAATGTTGTTGATTTCCCTTTAGTTACCCCGAAACACTGAAGTAGCGTCTTTTTGTTTTGCAAGATTTTATGTGCTTTTTTATCTCTTTTCCAATAAATTCAGAATCGCCTCTGCCCATTCTTTCTCCATCCTCCACGACGCTTTACAGGAATGACCTTGACCTCCAAACTGTCGTCTGCAGCATCGTTGGAAGCCAACCTCTTGATAATTCCGCGGCGTTTAGGAGCTGAGGCTTTAATCTCCCTTGTTATTTCTTCAATCAAATCTTCGGCTGCTCTAATACCAGATAAAGCTTCTTCTGATAGAGACATAGAGGGCGCTGCTGGTGAAGGAAGTGCGTCGGCCATTTGTTGCCTCTGTGCATCTAAGTAAAGGGGAATGCCTGCAAAAAAGACACCGGCATGTACTCTTAAAGCATTTTCAATAAAGTTTGATCAATTGATCAAAGATTGCTTCAGGAATTTTAGTTGTTTGCAGATATATAAAACATATATATATCTTTATAAAACACATATTAATATGTAACTCATTGATCGAAGAATAGTTTTGCCTTCAACTAATATCCAAAGTTTTATGTATCAATGTTAAAAAAAAATCTAATTGTACTAAAATTGAAATATAAAAACAAAGTATGTATGTGGTTTATAAGGAAAATATTTAATCGTTCTAAAATTGAAATATAAAAACAAAGTTTGTATGTGGTTTATAAAATTAAATGACACATTTTTGAAAGTTCTCCAATGTTAATAATTACCTAATTCAATTTTTCTTTTCCGGTCTTGCCACGCTTTGACCTTTCTCAAAAATGACCTTGGCATTGGAGGAGGAGTAATGACCCTCAGTCGTGAACGCTTTGCTGGGGGTAGAGCCTCGCTATCAGGACTGTTAGACCGCTTCCTCTTTCTGGATGCATGTCTGCAAAACAAAGTTAATGACATTTTATCTATTGACATCACGAGTGAGCGAGTTTTGACAGGAACATACATGTAATTGTAAACTAAAATATTACTATTTCTTTCCAGTTACATGTGTATTCAATTAAACATTTAGCATGTCTGCAGTAACAGATGCTGTCCATGTAATCAGTGCAGTCAAGAAGCAGGCGGCACATCCATATATTCAGATCATTGTCAGCACTGTTCGCTATTTAGTTAGTACTTACTAGTATTTTATTATTTTTCTTTTGTTTGTTTGTTGTTTTTTTTTCTTCGTTTTTTTTGTGTTTTTCTGTTGTTTTTTTTTTGTTGACTTTTTTTTTTTTTGAAAAGTGGCCAAATCCGATTAAGATATTTAGCAAGGCAAGTGTTAAAAAACAGCTTTATCACACACCCGTGCCGATTTTGCGACTCCGTAAATATGGTATTGCACGGCCGTGCAAATATTTTGACGTGACGTCATTAGCGTAATACAAACATAGTGTAAAGACGCGCTAAATGTAAGCGTTATACTATAGACGCATCAATGAAAAATGACTCTTATTTCACTTTAAATGGTCTTTATTTTGGGTATGTGATAAATAGAATATTAAATTCGTGTAAGTTCATTACTGAATTTATTGCACTCGTTAAATAAAATAATATTATGCTCGCCGAGGCTCGCATAATATAATTTTATTCAACTCGTGCAATAAATTCAGTATTGAACTTACACTCATTCAATATCCTCTATTTCCTTCTGGTAGGAATATCTCAAATGCACTGCCTTATGTCAATGCATGTATTTTACTTGATCTGGTATGTTCTATTGGATGAATTATTGGTTTGGAAGAAAACGAATCACATAATTTGCCAAAACTAACAATGCACATCAATTACGTATCTCATATAATATGCATTCATGTATAAAATACAATTTAAATGCTATATCCGTACTTACTTTAACATGTCCTGAAGACGTTCAACGCTTTGTGTTGTTTTCTTCATTGAAAATTGTCGTCTGCTTGAAAATTGTCGTCTGCTTCTAAAGGTTGCTGTATCTGTTTTGACGTTAACTGCCTAAGTAACAACGACGTTATGACGGTAATATCCTTTACGTCACAATGTGAACATGGCGTCATTGACGTTAGTCATTTATTTCGATTCGGTTCTGACGGTAGAAAATCAGTAGCGGTATTTCTCATAATCTAAATGGCTTGATATATTTACGTATGGACTGTAGGCTCTCAAAGACATACAAGCTCATAAAGGATAATATACAATCCCTAATATTTAAGGGCACCTAGAATTAATAAAGTCAGTGTTGACCTACAGGTTAATCCATGCCCAGACCGACTACAAGTTCTCGTACCTCATAGATGACAATCTTCAGCTGATTGTCCTTATATTGCCACAATGCCTGCACACTTTATCAGTTCCATATGTCCAGTCACTTCACTAGCAACAAAATGGGAGGGGTATAACATCAAAGTGTCTACAGTGTAATATTTTAGTCATACAGAACTCTCTTTTTTAAATTGTTTAAGTCAAATAAACATTGAAGTGCAATTAGTCTTATAGCCAATTTACTACAGTTAAAACACTGGAAACAGCATTGGTGGCACTATACAAAAACAAATTTGTTTATAATCTCACAACCTTCACCTTTCTGACATTCTGAGACCCAAACAAATTCAGCGCCTTCTGTGCTTTGATTTTTTACTGCTGTAAAAAGTAATCGTTAACAACATACTTGAGAGACCGTTGAGGGTAAATACATATATGTAATTATTTAGGGGATCCTTAAATTTAAATGTCTTGTTTTTCCCCATTGATGTCAAATTCCTTTTTTGAGAGCTACACATGCGCTTTAAGTGACACAAGAAGACTGCTTTGTGAGGTTTATAGTTATTAATCAATTGTGGTAGTCGAAAAATGACCTCACTAGTAACTAGTTACTTTTCACCCGCCAAAGTCACCTAATCACACCGACTTATATACGAAAATGAATGAAAACTGTAAGAAGAGCGAAAACAGCGATATTTTTCTATTTTGTGATCATGATTTCTGCACGCCTCTAGAGGTATTGCTCCAACACTAGTGAGTTAAATCCCTCACTAGTGAGATCCGAACCAACGTACTCTGTATCAAGAGCCGGCCGCTCTACACCATACAACACTCTTTGTAAACAAGAGCCACCGCCGACCGAGGGCAACGCTCGACATGACTGTAACAATACCAATAACCTCTACTTTAAAAAAAAGTCGAGCTAAAAAAAACAAACACTCGGGGTATTTGTAAATGTATTTATTTATCAAGGACAATGGCATCAGACACTTGCCTGAACAAATCTTGACTATGACATTAAAATAATATAATCCCCTACACCTATACAGTAGTGTGTGACATGAATAAATGAGCCGCGTCACGACAAAACCAACATAATGGGTTTGCGACCAGCATGAATCTAGACCAGCCTGCACATCCCCGCAAGTCTGATCAGGATCCTGCTTTGCTATCATTTTTAAAACTTTTATGGGTTTTTAACAAAAATCCTTAGTGCCATCCACTTCGGACCCATGTGGGAAAACCATTATTTTGGTTTTTCATAATCATAAAAAAAAAGGGGAAGTTTTAAAAAATATTCCCCAAAAAATAAGAATTTGCATTTGCAAGATTTTTTTTAAAAAATATATTTTTCATAAAAAAATTCCTTGTGGCTATTTATTACAAAATTTTAAAAAAACATAAAGGCAATGTATTAATTTTTAAAAAAACAATAAATTTTATAAAAAATTTATAGGTGGAATGTTTTTTTAAACATAAATTTTAAAAAATTTCCCAAAAAAAAAGTAGTGGGAATTATCTAATTTTAAAAAAAATTTCCATAAAATTACCTTGGGCAATTTTTTTTCAAACATATAAAATTTCGAAAAAAACCCATCAATTATAAAGTTTTAAAAAATCATTTTCTTAAAAAAAAAATCATATGTGGCACATGTACTTTTTAAACATATAATTTCTTAAAAAGCATATAGAGACATATTTATGTTTTTAAACACTTATACTTTCATACTCAAATTTCCTAAGAAACATTCAGTGGTAAATACAGTCAAACCTGTAAGGAAAGGTCACCAGACAAATTATCATTTAAATAGTTAATTGGTCTTTATTTGGAGGTTTTATTTATTTCATTTTATTAATGAAGAGTGATCAGTAAGTGGCCTTTATTTGCAGGGTTATCTTTATTCGGAGGTGATCTTTTACACAGGTTTCACTGTATAACTTTTGAAAATACCTATACATTTATTTTCACACTTGAAATTTCCTAAGAAACATTTCATTTGTACATATGACACATTTGTATTCACATATATATTAGTATTTCGCATGACTCAATGCACAATCAAATGACATAATGTTCTATTTAAGAAACCATTTCAATTATGTTTTGCTAACAGTAAAATTCATAAGAAACCTTTTCATTTATGTATGGCTATGATAAATTTCATGAGAAACCTTTTTCATTTGTGTATGGCTATGGTAAATTTCATAAGAAACCTTTTTCATTTATGCATGGCTATGGTAAATTTCATAAGAAACCTTTTCATTTATGCATGGCTATGGTAAATTTCATAAGAAATCATTTTCATTTATGCATGGCTATGGTAAATTTCATAAGAAATCATTTTCATTTATGCATGGCTATGGTAAATTTCATAAGAAACCTTTTCATTTATGCATGGCTATGGTAAATTTCATAAGAAACCATTTTCATTTACATGTATGAATGGCTATGGTAAATTTCATAAGAAATCATTACAATTATGTTTGGCTATGGTAAATTTCATAAGAAACCTTTTTCATTTATGCATGGCTATGGTAAATTTCATAAGAAACCTTTTTCATTTATGTATGGCTATGGTGAATTTCATGAGAAACCTTTTCATTTTTGTATGTCCATGGTAAATTTAATTGGAAACTAATAATGTATGATTATGGTAAAATTCAAGAGAAACCTTAATGTACATGACTTTGTACATGTGTAATTTCTTAAAATCCTTTGCATTCATGATAATGTATTTCATAACAACTCATCTAATTTATACATAGGCATATACATAATTTTAATGTATTTCATAAAAACCCATCTATTTATATATACTGAAACATGGGCTGGGAAATTTTTTTTAAAAACAAAGAAAACAAGAGGACATTGTCCTAGGTGAGCTAAAAAAGAATTTTAAACCCGAATTTATACTGATAATTTTAGATAGATTTATAATATATGTACAACTGTAAGAAACGGTTTTTATCTAGGGCTATTTTAACAAAAAAATATTATACATAGAGGCACTTAATATATTAATTACAACACATTAGTAACTAGGCAACAGTTTGCTCACCTAAACAAAACTATTTACAAATAATAATGATGACAGATGCATGAAAAGGGCATCTCATTCAAGTTATTTTGAAGTTTCTTCAAAACAATATCTTTGTATAGAGTTTTGTTTTATATTGTCTCTCTTTCTTTCTTTCAACAGATACAGTAAAAAAGTGATTTTCTAATCATCAAATATTAAAATCATTAAAAACAAAAACAATTAAATTGACTTTTGAAGACATTTTACTACTTTATACAAATTTTCTGCTAAATTTGACAATATGTGGAGCAATAAAAGATGCATATTTTTCAAAGCAATTTAGAAAATATAAAAAATCATAAAATCAATAAAACTGTTATTTCCCTTATTTCCTTCCATCAAGCTCAATAAATTAAGATTTCTTATTCATTTAACATAAATATACCTTGTCACAACATTATTAAGTTTAATGCCAGTATTTTCATGTTATGGTTTTATTCCATCGGGAAGAACGAGGATAAAAACACCCAAATACAGACAGTTCTTCAACAATGAAGTATTTTTTCACCTTTTTCTCAATATATCTGGGCACTTTCTCTTGAAGTCAAGGTTTTCTTGTTGTTTTTTTTCTTTTAAATATCAAAAAGCTTCAATTCTTATAAAAAAATCTCCATATACTTGTACAGGTTTGATTTCAAGATTATTCCTTGGAATTTGTAAAATGTGATTTTATTTCCTTCAGACATGAAGAAGTCCATTTTCTGGTTGAAATGTTAGGTTTTCCAGTTTCCAGGCACTATTTCACCTAAAAGTCTTCATTCCAAGAATAAAATTCAATTTTGATTAAAAATGGAAAGTCCTCCAGCAATTGTCTCCCCTATTTCTTATTAACACAAGGTAGAATTTTGCGTTTGAACTCTTCGCATTGAAGAGCTATATTATCAACATGTGAATAATTTAAAGCACACTTATTTCTTTTTTTTGTATCAAATTTTCTGCCACCTTTGTGCACTTATCAGCTGTTTTTGTAAAGTTTTTTTTTCAATGGTTACTATGGCAACTACCACCAACCTCCTCCTTGATTCTCCCCCGGGGGTGGGAGCTGAAAAAAAAATTCAAATCTTTAAAATAAGATAATTTTAATGCTAAATAACTGTCTTGTTTTTTATATCTATGTTAGGAATTCCGTAGCCACCTTAGTGCAAAGTATTTAAGGTCCCTGACTTCAAATCGCTTGCATCTAACTGTTTTGGGTTCAAATCCCTCTTGGAACTTTTGAATATTTTCAAGCTAGCTAACAAAAAGTCAGCAATTCTACTGAGATGCTAGCTTGTGTCTAAAAACAGCACAGGGGCCAAGGTTATAAAGACATATTCTAATCTCGGGTATTTGATTGGTCAGAAACAGGCAGAAAATGTGAATTGACCAATGAAAATCCTGAGATTTGAGCTTGATCTTATGAAAAGGTTTTAAAACCTTGCCAGATCAGCTAAAGATTCAACTTTATTACTATAACCTTTGTCACTGTGCATTATTTTCATGATTTTATTTAATATATTAAAACTTGTTTCAACCATCAACACCAGGATTACGTCTTGCCAACTTTGCCTTTTTTTTCCCAATGGGAACTGACAAAATTGTTTTTTAGTTCCAGGTAAAATTTGACCATTACTTAACCTTGATAAGACATTAGATGAAAAATATTGAATTTTCACACATTTTTTATGTATACATCACCTTAAATGATTGAAAATCATAGTATGTATTTGTATTTATGTAATTTAAATGTTAATAAATTTCTTTACCGGAGGAGCCTGCCCCTGTGGGGGATCACAGCTGTTCTGGTTCATTGGTTGCCGTGGTGACATCTCAGCCTTCTCCTCCTCACGTCGCTTCAGACACGCCACCTTTGGGTTCAAGTTTCTTTCTGTAAATAAAATCACGTAAAATGAATGAATAGTATAACAAATAGCATTTCACAAAACTCTTCTATAACAAGATTTAACTTTAATATAAGAAGAAAATGTTGAATAAATAACTGGAAATAAGTGTTTCCACGTTAGCATTAAAACAGTAAAATTACATGAAAATTGCAGACTCAGTTTGATAAAGTCTGTACATGTATTATCCTACTATGCATTGTAATCTGACAAAAAGAACTAACCAAAACAAATTCAAGAAAAGTTTACTCTCTTTCAAGGAGGAACTTGAAAAGTTTAGAAATATGATGGCTAAATATGACTTTTCTGCAAAATGCAGTCAATAATGTGAGAAATCATTACTGAGAGAGTGAATGTATTCAAATTGAAATGATCTCAGAATAAAAATGTCAATAATTTTTATTCATCCAATCATTTCAATGTGTTAAAAATTTATATAAAAAAGTTTTAAATTTTGCTGTGTTTGGGTGAGAAATAAAGTTTTCATTATGTTACATTGATGCCGAATTGTACGGTTGGGTGAGAGGGTCTCCGTGATTGCTCTGTGAAACAGTCACGGTGAAAATAAAAACCGTACCTCGGACTTGAGATTCTAATGTCGTTATAATGTTAACAGCTTGCTGTAGGATCATCAGTTTTGTCATTGGCTGCGTTGACCCACAATGCATGGTTACCATGGCTCCCAGTTCCTTCACAGCTTCATTGATATCTCTAACCCTTACTCTGAAAAATAATAAATTTTTTAATTATTAATTTTGTTTATCATAAAATAGAAAAAGATTAATTAACTGTGAGCACAGTCACCAATTGGTAGCCAAACTCCTCACAGTGATTACCTCCCTTGACAGATTGTAATCACTACCTTCACAGACGTTAATGTATACATCACCTTAATCGATTGAAAATCCTAGTTTATATTTATATATGTAATATAAATGTAGGCACATGAAAAGTTTAGAAATATGATGCCTTAATATGACTTTTCTGCAAAATATGTGTGGTGGTAGAAATCTCTGTAATGATAAGGGGAGATCACTGCATAGGAGATTGATTGGTAGCACTCCATTAGGTCACAGGTACAATCTCCCACTATCTCCTGCTACTTCAACTAAGAATTACAAATAGTCCTGTACTGAGACCTTAAAAGGAACTCCACGCAAGATGTCAGGAAAATTACAATGTAGTTCAACATATTTTTATCCTTTCTCTTTAATATAAGTGTTTTAGAATGGAAATAGATTTGAGCACGAAACTTGACACTCATGGCTCAGTTCTGATTGGTTCCAGGAACAGATTTGAGAGTGTGTCTATAAGACTTATAACTTCCTACACAATTAAACCTAATTTCTGTATGAACTAACACAAAGGTAAGTAACACCTGCAGATATACATGCGCTTAAGAAAAACTCTGTAGTTCAATAATTGAGCCGCGTCACGACAAAACCAACGTAATGCGTTTGCGACCAGCTGTTCGCTTACAAACATTATAACAAGTAAAGAAACTGATAGCGAACAGCATGGATCCTGATCAGACTGCACGGATGCGCAGGCTGGTCTGGATCCATGCTGGTCGCAAACCCATTATGTTGGTTTTGTCGTGATGCGGCTCAATTCTTTTTTTCTCCCTCCTTGTACGTAAATGTAAATCATCATTTCCGAAACGTTCATAAAGCTCTCCATATGATAGTTCTTGTATCAATAAGAATCTTGGAATAAAGCACACATTTGCTTCACAATTTTTTTTTAAAAGCCTTTTTCTCCCCATTATGCAGGTGTCAGTTTAAAATATTGCCGTGTTTAATTGCTGGATAAGATTTATGCAAATGCAATTTTACTTATGCATTTGGCAAATGATTTGTGCATTTTTTTTATAATTTTTTTTTGGGGTGCAAGATTCTAATGTAATTTTCTTCACAGGAAACTAGAAATGTATATATCAGATTTGGCAATAAGCTGTAGTGAAGGGTAGATCAGGGCCTTTTCATGCTATTTTTGAGAAAACCCAAATTGGGAAAAACTGATGGCATTTTGCAGACGATTCATGGCTTTTTTTTCCCCATGGTTCTTAAGTAATTTTTCTTCACAGGAATACAAAATGTATATATATCAACTCTGGCAGTCCTGACTGAAACTCATCTCAACTGTACTAAAGGGGTAGATCAGGGCCATTTTGAGCTATTTTAGGGTAAAGCCCTTCAGCTTAAATTGAGAAAATTGAAACTACCCGATAACAAATGTATATATCAGATTTGGCAATTCTAACAAGCTGTAGTGAAGGGTAGATCAGGGCCTTTTCATGCTTTTTTAGGGACAGGCCCCTTGTTTAGTGGCTTTTCAAGTTTATTGGTGGAAGAAGACCTCAGGCGCCCTTACATGCATTATTTCAGGCATGAACAAGCACCTGACTAGAACGATCGACGTTCAATAAGCTAGATTGATAGCTTTCTTGCATAAAAGAATGCCAAGTCCCTGTCGCTTTTGAACCCACAGCAGTCCGGGGCAAATGGTATGAAATATGAAAAACAAAATCAACAAGGAAGGGTGGCTTTCAATTAATGCAACAATGAAGTCAATGACCACAATAACTCAGCCACAGATTGCCCCTAAATTTTTATATTTTTTTTTGCAGCTGTCGGCTTTACTTGTGGTTGATTAGGGTGGAGAGGGGGCGGAGTATTTTGAAATGGGCCTGTGATATGGCTATGTTCCCATAGTCTTGTAAGAAATCTGTTATAGAACAATAGCATGGACTTTTTTTTAAATAGTTAATTTTTATGTATCAGGAAATTTCAGTCAGCATACAGATTTAAACAAGTGGAACTTAACCTTTATGGCTTTAGCCAGCTGAAACTGAAAGTTACTAGCCTTTGCTAACAGGAAAGAGCTAAGCCAAACAGTCAAGTTTTAAACAATAACATAACGCTTAGGGCTACAAGTCCAGGCCATCCGGGGGCAGATATTTATTCATCATACGGGAAAATAAATGAGAAACCAAACTTGTTTTTTATTCTGTAATATAAAATTTATTGTTAATTCCACATTGTGCACATTAAAAATCATGTGGAACGAACATGTATTATATATTGTTCAATCAACTAGAGCTACTCAATTGTGAAATGACGAAATGATAAAAATGTGACGACGCGACCATATACTCTTCAAAATCCCTTGCAAAAAAAAAAAAAATCGCAAAAAACAAAACAACATTGCTAAATATACAAAAAATTTCCGTTCATAACATGACACATGGTTCAAACAATACCTGATGCAATAAGGTTGTACCTTGTTCTTATATAGCAAACAAGTTACAAGCATTTTGCATCAAGTCTTGGATAATTATAACATAATAAGCAAACATAAATCAATTTCAATTTGTAAATATTTCCGCCTTTAAAAGAAAAAGAAAACTTAATGATTAACATTTAGTGCAATAAAATTGCATCTCGGTTCATCTCAAAAAACGACTTCACACGAGTTTACAATTCACATGAAACCCTGGATAAATTAATATGCAAAGTAAATCAACACAATCTTTGAATAAATCCCCTTGAAGACAACAAAAATTCAAACTTTATGAATATTTGTGCAATAGGGTTGTATATCCATTCTTTCGTTAAGAGTTACGACCATTTTGCACCTATTTTTGCCAACATAATGTGTGGAAAAAAATTGACATTTCCTATTTGTGAAGGATAAATTTACAAGTTTCAAGGAAAACTTTGAAGTTTCCTTCTATTTCACATCAATTAGTGATTAACAAAGTAAGAATACAAATAAAATCATAATAAATCTTTTTTTTTCACACATTTTTTCTGCAAATTTTTCACATTTGATTCATACCTAAAATTCAGATTTATTTATATATATTAAATTAAGAAACAAAAATGCTTAATGAACACTGCATTAATTGGTAAACTAAAATACAAAAAGAAAGCGTGCAAAAAAACCCAAAATCACAAATTAAAAGGGATCCCAATTCTTTTTTTTTTTTTCACTTTTAACATAAAAATTTGTTTCAATTATCATTTTTTACATAGATTTAAAAATTTACATCGCAGTAAGAATTAATGTACATGTGTATACTTACATAAGACTCTAAACTCTGATTTTAAAATAAATACCTGATCAAATGTAATAAATCAAAAAGAAAATGTAAGAATATTCATTATCATATCAATAATAATTCATTATCTATTGTTCAATAATTCACTGACAGTGCCAGTTAATATAAACTTTAAGGTAAACAAGAGATGTCACAGAAGCAATGTGCTCCACTTTTCTCGGTCCTGGAAACTGTTTAAGTATTGAACTAAAAGGCACATTATTCCTCAGAAACGAATAAATTTTTATTTCTTTAGAAAAGGGCAAGCATAAGTTTTATAACATTTAAATAATTGTTTTAGAGCATTTAAGATGCTTGTTACCCGAGGAAAGTAGCTATACTTATGAAATTATCTGTCATTAAAGATGGAAAATGTAAACAAGTAGTATTTTGACTTCCATGCAAAATACTTTATCTCTATAACTGTTTGTTTGTTTTTTGTTTGTTAGTTTCATATTACGCCTTTTCGCAACAGTATTTCAGTTGTAGGCAGCTAGTTTCCTAACCATCGTTCCTGGAGAGTTATACCAGTATTAGACTACCTTCCTCCGCGCTAAACTACCAAAGCATCTCCCGGGGATCGAACCCACGCCAAAGAGGTAACCGGATTAGAAGTCATCGGCTCTAACCCCTCGACCACGGAAGCTGTTAACTGTACTAATTGCCAAAAAAGCAACACAAGAAACAGATTATTCAGGTAATTGGCCAATCAGCAGGTTTTTTGAAGTACACCAAAAAATAAAGATTATGAGAAATAAAAATTAAAGCATTTCTGAGGCATAACAGGCCTTTAAAAATGGCATTTTTTTCTGTTAACATTAAAGGCAGTCAACAAAATCAATAAGGTGAAAAATAAAAATTTATTAAATAATCATCGCATAAATAAAATCAACAATAATTGTTTATTGTTCAATAAATCTGTATCAAATAATACCAATTTACAAAATAAAAATAAGAAAATTAAAAACCAGTCAACATGGTCACCAATAAGAAAAAATTCTGAAATTTATATATAATCATCTAGTTTTGTTCAAGGCAAATCAAAACTTTAAACAGTGCAATATTTAGTCATATTTATGAACAAAATTTTGTTTCATTTAAAAAATAATTTCATCATAATTATATAAAGCCCTTGTAATAAATTCCATTCATATGTAAGGAATTAATGACATCAAAACCTAACAAAGAATTTTACAAAAAAATATAATAAGTTTTAATGTTTGGAAGAGCAGATTTCTTATAACAAATTTTAAGGTATCATATCCAACATCAGCTTGCAACAAAAATTTGGCATATTTTGACACTTTCTTTTGTTTATAATGATTACATTACTTTTTGACACTTTCCATGGTTAATAATGATTAGCATGTTTTGGAAATGTCCATGGTTTCAGGTTTTGCATGATTTTACAATTTCCATACTTCATAATGATTGAAATATTCTGACAATTTCCATGGTTTTATAAAGGCTTTTTATATGATTTGACAATTTCCATCATTTATAAGGATTTGCATGGTTTGTCAAAATGGTTTTGCATGCTTTGACAATTTCCATGGTTCATAATAGTTTGCATGGTTTCACATTTTCCATGGTTCATAATAGTTTACATGGCTTGACAATTTTCCATGGTTATAATAATGGTTTGTATGTTTTGACAACTTTCATGGTTTATAAGGTTTTTGCATGTTTTTTTTTATCAATGTTTAAATTGTATTTTTTACAAAGTTTATAGTGGTTATCATGGTTTTGTAATTTCCATGGTTCATAATTGTTTGCATGGTTTGACAATTTTCCATGGATATAATAATGGTTTGCATGGTTTGACAATTTCCACAGATGGTAAGGTTGTTGCATGTTTTTTACAATGTTTAAATTATATTTTTAACAATGTTTATAGTGGTAAGCATGGTTTTGTAATTTCCATGGTAAAAAGGGTTAGCATGGTTTGAAAACTTCCATAGAATATAACACTAAGCATATTTTTGCAATGTCCATAGTTTATAAGGTTTTGCATTATTTAACAATTTTCATGGTTTATCATGGTTTTGCATGGTTAAACAATTTTCATAGATTTTTTTCTATATTTAACATATTTTGTCAATAGGTAAATAACTTGTTGTGAAGTTATCCATTAAAGGTGACCAAACACCATAAAAATGTTACTGGTTTGATGGATCCTGAATCCTTTTCTTGTAAAATGCAGGTTCCCTTGCACAAGCTTAAGCAGATATCAACGTTTACAAATAGAATATAAAAGTTACTTCTTTTTATCAAGTCATGGCTATCTCTTTCACGGCTAGATAGAAGAATATGTCAAAACAGGCCAAATTTTTAAACAATCTTCTGACGGACAATGTACCTTAATCATAACAAACACAATTACAACTTTAAGGGGCTACAGCCCCCCTACAAAAATAGCACACATGACAAGTAGTACCTCTTAATTGCAAAAAGAAAATTAATTCTCATTTCAAACAATACAAAATACACTTTTTTTGGCAAATTTATTTTCATGCTAGAATTCAAAAATGTCATATTTTTTCTATCAACAACTTTTTGGCAAAATTTCATTTTCTAAATAAAATTCATTTCTTTTTTTAGTAAAAGCACCTTAAACCTTTCCTACTTATAACTCATTATTTTTGGCAAAACTGAATAGTTGAAATCTTACACTGTTCTTAAACATGTAAATCATATAAAATCTCAAATTATGTTATATTCAAGGTTCCTTATTTTTAAGAAAATTTGCAATGGCATCAATATTTTTGTTCTTAAAAATGGCAAAAATTTAAACTATATGTAAAAGTCTTAACAAAGTAATCAGAGTTCATTAATCCTGTTTCTAGTTTATCCTTAATTAATGTAATAAGCAGTCAGGGCGACAGTGATTTCTAGTTGATCTAGGACATACAGGCGCTTGTTTTATCTTTTAGAAATTTGTAATTTTGCTGATTTTCATAGCCTCCATATTCTTAATTTAAAAAGCAGTTAAGCTGACAGAGATTTTTATTGTTGCTCTTGGTCATAAAAACACTTACTTCAGTTCAATAACAAGACAATGGTGTACTATGGCAAACTTTCAGTCTTCCATGTTCAACAAATTTAAAAAGCAGTTGAGGTGACAGAGATTTGTTTTGTTTGCTCTTTGACAAATGGAAGCTTGTTTGATATTTATATGGTTATAAGATATGGAAAATGATGCAGTATGGCAAATAATTTTTATGAGCCTATTGATGTAAATATGAACATTTTTTTATGATGATGTCCCCTCACATAATAAACATTATGATAAAATGACACTCATATATTCACTAAATAATTCATTTCTACATCATTTATACAGGAAAGTGTGTGCTTCTTTTATAATATTGTATATGTATATATGTATATATATATTAATGCACATAAATAACAATATTTTTTCACAACGTATAGAGGCACTTACTTATAATGATTCTTCAAAAAACACTGAACAAATATCATCACTATATATACAAATAATTCATTATCTAAAAAGAGAAGACATATTTCTTAAAACTCATGTACACCCGAGACTCAATTTATAAGTTTTTTCATGCCACACTATCGTAACTCAATGACTGTTACAAACCAAGTTATGACGGTGTGGGATCAAATCCCTTAAAATTCATCTCGTACTATAAACAATTGTATTGTAAACATTTCACACAAAAAAAATGTGAAAAAATGAAATTCTTTATTACATTTATATACAAATAAGATCAATTTAATTAAAATCTCAAATAATGAGATCTTTTTTCCATTACCTTTTTTTTTTGACAAGTCTTCCATTATTACAAGAACATTGTGACAATAATACATGTACATTTTTTTACTGTGATAAAATTTCACATTCTGTAAATGAATAAAAAAAATTCTAATCAAATGTTACACAGGAAAAGATCATTACACATTACAAGTTTGGGCAGAAATGACAACATTTTATAATGAAATATTCTTAAAGAAAAAGGAAGTTTGAAAAAAAATCCCCCAAAATATACTCTATTTACTCATCTACTAGACAGATCACATATAAGACACAGCCTGATTTTAAAGTGAAAAATCAGCCATACAGTGTAAAAACAAAATACCGTCTTACAGATGAATACATGCAGTATAAAGTAACCTTATTAAAACGATGAGGTTTTTTGTGCTTACATGAGGTATCGGGTGAGAAATTTATAATTAAAACCTCTAACCTACCATGCATTATAAATGGTATGGCACTGACTTATAGTAATGGAAGATCAAAATGGTTAGCACTTTTAAATTCCTACTCAATAAATTAAATATATAAATAAATCGTTCGAGAAAGAGCTTGGTTTAAAGTTTTTTGGTAAGCACGTCTCAAGGTTTTGTTCTTTAGTTTCCAATGATAAATTAATATTGTATGAATTCTAAACAATATTTCAACATGTTTCACACGCAAAATGTATTTAATTATTTTATTTAATGTATTCTTAAAAGTTGATTTGAGGTTCAAATAGCTAAGCTATTAAATCACCTATTGCTGACACCAAAGTATTTAATATCTCTGTCAAGAAATGAAAATCTTGGGCAAAGTTCATTCAAGAAATAATATATATATACAACAATTGTACAACCTCTGTAGTGGTTTACTATTTTACTACGACCTTAATTTCAGTAGCCCTACTTCCCTCAGAAAAAAGATCCAATATAAAGAGACATAGTCATTGTATACAAGTAGATCAGTGATTGATAGCATTCAAAACGAAACATGACATAACTTTTACTTGATAATGATGAAATGAGTTACACCGTCGTCACTTTTGATCCTCCTTATCTTTGTCACAACAATCATTAACGTTTAACTCCTCAATTCCTCTTCCATTGTTTGTTCCTTTTTTTTGTAAATGGTATTCATCCTCTATTTCGGTGCAAGCACAAAGTAAACATTACACACTACATAGTAGTTCATACTAGTTACATAGTCCAATCTTATTCCATTATAGAGACAAAATTTACAGCAACGAATGTTTTCAAAGCACCCCCTGAATAATCAAATGTACCAAAAGTAGTAACTTCAGACATATTTGCATGTCTGCAAACGTCACACACCTTTAAAGAATCTGATTGGTTCACATTTTTTTACAAATTTATCCTAATCAGACTTTTAACAATATCATACTGGTTTTGTCACATTTTGATGTTCTTGTACCTTGTCTTATAGTAACACTTCAACCATTGTTTGCAAATCGACACTTTGATCCATTTCCCTTTGGTTTGTCTCTTCGCTCCACCACTTGCAAATGATCACTTTCATTTTCCGAGCTCTCGAGGACAGCACCTTCGCAGTTTTCTAACATCAACTCATTTTTTAATCAGTATGTGTATCTTTTAACAACCTTAATAACTAATATCATATCAACCTGTAACCTATTTCACAAACTCTGTGAACATAGTTCAGCATAATTACACGCAAAAAAATATAACAATCAAGAACAACCTCCGATCTCGTCTGCTTCCCATGTGCTTTGTAACAGGAAATGATGTCATGGAATTGAGATCACTGTATTATTTCACTTCGTTTACGTGTTCTGTTTGTCTTGCATGTGTATTTATTTAACCACACAATCTTTATACTAAACACAAACATATATATACACGTGTTGTGCTCCTCTTTGCTTGTGTAGTGAACACATCTTTACACAAAACACACATATTCATATATGTGTTGTGAAACTTCACACAAAACACACATGTTGTCCTTCGACCCTGTGTCTATACATAAATTAACAGTTTAAATTGTTCATTGTTTTATTTGTTATCAAATACCACAGTGGTACGATCCAGTGTGTATAACACGTTGGTACAAGCACAGGTCTCTTTATACATAAATACAACTGCCAATGCTCTTTAAAATATTGCGTCTGCTGCTACCACCATCCACCTTGTTTGTTCACATCAGGGGGGCACTGAAATAGAGGGGAAAAAAATTTGCAATAATCAAAAAGTTCTTTAAGAAATTACATAACTGATACAGGATTTCCCGCTTAAAATTATAGATTTCCCGCTTAAAATTATCACTTTCTAAAGATGGAAGCATTCTCCCAATCAAAGGCATTTGTTTGTCTTGGTTGTAATGCTGAATTTAACACATTTTAGTTTTATCTTGGCGGTAAATCCACCTTACCAGCTATCCCGGATATCTTACTAACCAGTAATTACCATTAACAATTTCTACACAATTGATCATTGCTTATCCCATATGATTTCTGACTTAGTGGTAATATAGACAAATGACCAATAAACTCAATATCCAAGATAAATTGTCATGGTGACAATTTTACTTCGCCCTAGGATCGAACTAGTGACCCCTTGGATTACACATCTGATGTAAGTAATTATAGTAGTGAAGAAAGTAAAGGGTACATACAATGTCAATGATGTCACAACTAAGGTGTCAAAGATGCATGCATATTTAATTTTTTTTTCAAATTATTTTAACATGGCAACTAAAGGTGTAAAGGTCATAATTTATGACCTGAATGCATATTATATTTATTATGTCTATGGCAGAAATTTCACATGTTATAAAACCCTTGACTTGCTTAAACTGAAAATAATAACAATTTGACACCAAAATTAGAACCCAGCCAGACTGCACATCTGCTCAATTTCTTTAATGCTTTGATATTGAAATCTTTTAAAACTTTTTGCAGACTATGCGAATTTCAAAGCATGGCAAATCAATTACACAAATTCAATATATTATGGGTTAACATACTACAGTTCTTTCAAACAATTACTAGCTCTTTCAAACAATTATTATACCTTTGGACCCATTGAGCCTTGTTGCAGATCTTCAGCGTTAACGTTCATTGGTCGGCCGGGTATATCATCAGATTTCTCGTCCTCACGACGTTTCAGACATGCTGCTTTAGGATTCAGATTTCTCTCTGAAGAGAAAAAATTTGCGGTCAATATTTTGATTTTCTTTGTTGCATTAAATGAATGTTAAAATTTCATTTGCCAAATTTTTTTCCAACCCCCGAGTGTTAGTAGGAAAAATTAAAGTTTTAGAAGCCACAAGTATCGAGCCAGGTCAATCCACACTACTGTCCAGCTTAACTACATGTACACTCTATACTGTTGAACACTTAATCCTTGTGTTTTCCTATTGATATTATTTTGATATCTCTCCAACTTCCAAAGACCCATTCCCAGTTTAATGCTGCACTTGCCAGTATTGTAAAAATAAGGACTTTAGCATTATTTAAACATGCCACTGTATGATCAGTTCTTATATTCTACATAAATAATTTCTCAATTTTTTATGTCCTTTGTTTACAAAAAAAGTTCTTTAAACAGGAAACAAAAAACAATCACTACATTGTTAATTGTTTGGAATATTTTTGTCTCGAGATAATTCCCCTGACAATAATATTTCTTGAATTTAGAAAATTAAAGGACATACTTTAAACAGTAAACACTGGCTCAGATTTAATAATGGGCATGAAAAAATAATGGGCTTTAATGCGTCAACAACTTGATTAGAGACTACTTTTGGTTTAAAGTAAAGGACAGGCTAAGAGATTATAATCAACTTGAAGTAAACATTTGGGCCGCGTCATTAAAAATCCAACATAATGCGTCTGCGACCGGCAAGGATCCAGACCAGCCTGCGCATCCGTGCAGTCTGATCAGGATCCATGCTATTTGCCTACTTTTGGTTTAGAGATTACGGCCGGCTTAGAGATTAATTTTTACTCATTCCAAGTTAAGGCTTTGGTTAGAGATTACAACTGTCAAGAAAATTACCTCGAACTTGAGATTCAAGGGTCGTTATAACATTCACGGCCTGCTGTAACACCATAAGCTTCGTCAGGGGTTGTGTGGTCCCACAATGCATTGTAACCATCGAGCCGAGCTCTTTGAATGCTTCGTTAATATCCCGAACTCGAACTCTGTAAACAAAACATTCAAAACCATGTCATGTCATTCAGAACACAGAATAAAACAAATTCACTTGCAATTTTTTTATCAAAATGGAGTACTAACACAAGGTCTGTTGAAACTACTGCTTTCATTAAAATGTCTTAAGTTACATTTTTCTTCAATTATTCTGTAGTTAGAAAAGCTGCTTTTATATCCCCAGATTCAAACAAATATCCTGTGCATAGATCCCTGAATCAAAAGAGATCTTTGCTGTCGGATACACTTTAAAAAAATTTTGATCAATGTTTTTTTAAAAAAAAAGTTTCAACAAACCTTGGTCAGATTATGTATGGATATAATAAATAAGATATCTACGTGCGCATTATCAAATTGGTCATCTAGGTTGCCATCTAACATGGTATTCACAGGTAATCATAACACAATTAGCAAGCCCTTGTTAAATAGTGTCCGCAGCTTCTAATACATTCTATATCACACATTTTTTTTTTGGTACATTTGTAATTAGAAAACAACACAATATTAGCAAAACAGAACAACTAATAATCTAATAGAATCTCTTCTTTTTTCATGTCATCATTTAACATCCAATTCACAAGGTCATTTTCAAAATCATTCTTAAAAAGGGTCACTATTACATGTACGAACATTTGATTTTCTGATGGGCGTAGAGATTAAAATTGGCCCTAGGGCTACAATTTGATCAGAGACTATTTTTTGGTTTAAATACTTTTAAAGACTTAGAGATTAATTTTGGCTTCAAGGTTAAAATATTTTTGGTTCAGAGGTTAGGATAGGCTTAGAGATTAAAAAAAAATCCAATGACTGATGAACATCTTATGATAATTTACCGGTACTATGAAAAAAAGCGCATTTCAAGCAAACCTCATTCCACAGCAAGAAATAAGGCATAAAACATAAAACCATTTCGTAAAAAAAACAAGGAAGGGAAATGTAACTTTTTTGTTAAACAAAGATTTGAAATTCCAAAATCACTATTTGTCATAACAGTTTCCTTCATGTTTTATTTGGTTTGATAACGGAGGCTAGGAAGGTCACCAGGGTTTGATTGGTTGGGGTAATTTCCAGTTTTCAACACTATCAGCAAACAAAAGAAAATAGTAAGACAGCAAAGGCCTGATACAAGATACATAAAATCAGGACCTTAGCTAAGCTTTAAAGAGCAGCAAAAAAAAAAAAAAAAAAAAAAACAACCTTCAAGACCCCTCTCAACTAAAAACTGACAAAGTATCATGACAAAAATCAGACATCTGAAAGAAAATTGGATATTAAGGTTATGTACCTTTAATTGTGTTTTAAACAAAACTTTTCCATTAATTGTAAGAATGAAACTTTTGATAGCATGTTGCAGGTATGAAGTCAGACACAGGTGAAATCTTACCAGACTTTTAACTGTTGGCCACTCGATGTTACAATTTTGATATTGAAATGCCTTATTTTTAACAATTGGCAGTTAAAATATACATGTATGAACAGTTTTATCAAACTTTCTGAGCAGTCAAGTTGTATTTTATTTCAGTATACAAATTTAATGCCAAAACTATATACACTGCAACCCCGTTATAATGCTCATGTTGGGGTCCAAGGTCTTAACAACGCGTTATAACGAGGTTCTGATATATAACGCTCAACGCAAAATTACTGCATTACCCCACCCACCGCCAATACATCTAATGCTACCGTTCAATGAATATTGACATTTTTAATAATGTAAACTTAAATTATTTTGCTAAATATTACTATTACATTTAAAAGAAACAGAAATCCTTAGAAAGAAAAACATTAATCACAAATGTTGTAGAAAAAGCTTCCAGCTTGAGTTGTATCCCTTAGTTAATCCAACACCATTTATCTCATTTTTGCCAGTGGATAAAAAATGACGTCTTTTAAATAGATAATGGGCCCATGTGGTTTACTTAATTTATCTACATTTGAGTGCCACTTAAATCAGGTAGGAATTTAAGATTTCACAACATTTTTTACCGGACAGGTAAAACAAACAAAAGAGCGGATTAACACTAACCTGTACATGTTTTTCACACCTTCTTCGTTCACAAGTATCCTAATTACAATTGTTTATTGTACTTGACTGTCCCTATGTACAAGCGGTATATCGAATATTGCGCATGTACATGAAAAAAGTTAAAATCGGCAAAATTACGATTTTGTTTTTGGAAGCCATGACCTATGAGCATCATACTAACGTTAGCGTTATAACGAGGCGCGTTATAATGGGGTGGCAGTGTATATATATATAAATACAGTTTTTTTCAAACAATTTTTATTATTGGTTAAAAGGTGGGGCAGAAAATTAAGTTTGGGATGTTGTGGTGTCGGGGTGGGTGGGTTTTTTAAATAAGTTTTGATATTTACCTATCACAGTTTTTTTGGGTTTTTTTTTTTCTTGTTTTATATTTTAACATGTATTTACCTTTCTCTATCATTGTTAGCTTGTCTCCTATATCGATCCTTTTCTTCTTTATCCGTACTGCTTTAGAAAAATAGAACAGAAAATTTCTCTTTTACACAACGACCCGCGAAAATGAGTCATCTACACTTGTATCTATCGTTTCAAAGAATTTTAAACCAAAGTGTCCAAACAATGCATTTTTTCCCCAAAATAATATTTTGCATGAAATAAAAAGATTTTTGATTTTACAATTTTGACAAATTCAAAACTTTTAAAACATCAAAACAACATAAATTTTTGAAGGAATTTTGATTGTCGCCCAATAAATTCTAAATTTTGCCCTTCCCCCACCAAATTGTAGCTTTGTCCCCCATCTTAGATAAATTGTGATTATCACCACTTAACTACTATCAGTTATGTTCATTCAATTCAGGCACGTCTTTTGAAAGAATCTGTCCGAAACAATTCAAGAAATTCGATAACGGGAAAATGTTTAACATTTAACAAAAAAAAAAAAATTTCATGCTGAATATTATTTTAAAAGCATTGGCTGGACATGGTTTTTGAGTCACGTCCCGATCTGTTTTTTTTATCTCCGAAAAAAAAAGTGCGTTCCCGTAGCTTTTATTTAACTTATCCATTCGATCACTAACTGCGTGTTTTGACTGATAGTATAGTAAGTGGCATGATAATCACAATTTATCGGAAGACTATGCCCCATAATCCACCGAGAAAAAAAACAAACCGAGAGCAGTACATGACCGTTCCCTTGTATCAATGTTCTCTTATATCTAAAACAATAGATAAAAGCTAACAATCTTCCTTAAATATAGACTGAAAAATCATTAAATTTCATTGGTATAAAATTTTTTGGTGTCGGAAAAAACATTTTTTCCGGATTTTACCGGGCTGCAATATTTATGGAAGGGGTGGGGTTACTTTTTTTTAGCTGTTGTTTTGGGACAATTGGTATAATAAAGTGCAAAGGGCTCATATAAAATGGCAATAAAAGAGGCTCCTTTGTGCTGTATTTTTCAAAATAAGGGCATGGGGAAGGACTGGTGTAATTTCAAAATCCGTAAAAATTTGATAACATAATGAGCATTAATGATTTAACAGTGAGTCTACACACATAAATTATACCACTGACAACGTAAAAAATAAGGCTGTAATGGTCGACAGGATAAGTTAAACTTAGTAAAAGCTTTTGTTATACATAGTATAACTCACGTAAAATACCCAAACATTTTGCCGGCGGGACTTTTTTCTCCTAAAAAGTGCCGTTCGGAAAAGGACAATGAAAGCATGGGTAAGGAGTAAAACAGTTACAATATTTTTGACAAATTAATGACAAATTATAGAATTCTCCCAAATTCAAAACTAAACAAAATCACAATCACAAAGTGGAAATAATACACAACAGAAAATACATAGAATACTAATGTCTTGGACAAACTGTTGACCTACGGAAAAAAAATCTGCCGCCAAAAAAAATAATCCCTCGTAAAAACAGAGATTTGTTAACAAGCAAAATAACATGTCAAATCAGACATAGAATTAGTCCTACACAAAACTGTTTTCAAACTAATATTATTTTTCAAGATGGCAACTTCGATGAACCAACTGTTTTTATCTTAAAGGTCAACAAAATCTGCAAATGCTAAAAATAACTATTTATGCAACTCCTAAGTTACTTCACTTGGTTAAGCTATATTTAAATTTGACATTTTTTAAGATTGAAAGGAAAAGAACTAATAAAAAGATGGCTAGCAAAAGAAAACATGAAGCACTATATCTACTATAATTGTAAATCGTAAGAACTTACAAAATCGTTATAATATAAGCACAAAATTTTATTATAATGCGATCAATTAATCAGAGTGTCTTTGACTTATAATTAAATGTAACAAAATAATCAGAAAACCAGATCTTCTTTATATGCTATAAAAATCTGACCATTATAATTATTATTATGTTATGAAACAATTAAGTATTTTTTTAAAGATTCACCTTTTAAACAAAGTCTGATTCACACAATCTAAAATTGTGTATTAAAGTTCATCTTACATGTAATTCTAATTTTGATATTGAAATATATATTTCCTACTGTTACAACACTTTTTTCTTATCAGCATATTTTTTTTCCTTTTAATTTTGTTAAAATAAAATTTAAATAAACATCATCAATCTTAATTTTAGCATATATACTTTTAAGAAATCACTCATCAAAAAGCAATGTACAATTAAAAGTTACTTTTTTCATAACAGAAAGCAATTACTACCTATCAATTTCATTTTAAAAATTTTAAATTTTCAATTCATTTTAGCAAATTTTATTGGTACAAATAGTAAAACAGATGATCGATGAAAAATTCGCAAAACTACAATATCTGCGTTAATAAAGTTATTTCTTTCAGACATTTATTCAGACAATTTCGGGATTTACTAATTTTTCCACTAGTACTGTATGTATAACTGCATTCAAATATAAATACAAGGTCTATATATTGAACAAACTACAATATCTGCGTTAATAATACTATTTCTTTCAGACATTTATTCGGACAATTTCGGGATAAACTAAATTTTCCACTAGTACTGTATGTATAACTGCATTCAAATATAAATACAAGGTCTATATATTGAACAAACCTTTCTCTTGCGTTGTTCGCCTGCCTTCGTAACCTTTCTCTCTCAGCCTTCGTTTCCGGAGATTCGTCTTCATCTCCACTCCTGAAATAACATATAAATATGTGAAATTATACAATGAAATATGTGAAATTATATAAAGAAATATGTGAAATAACATAATGAAATATGTGAAATAACATATAAATATGTGTAATAACATATAAATATGTGAAATAACATATAAATATGTGAAATTACAATGAAATATGTGAAATTATACAATGAAGTATGTGAAATTACACAATGAAATATGTGAAATTTCACAGTGAAATATGTGAAATTACACAACGAAATATGTGAAATTATATAAAGAAATATGTGAAATTATATAAAGGAATATGTGAAATTATACAATGAAATATGTGTAATTACATAATATATTTATGTGAAATTTCACAGTGAAATATGTGAAATTACACAATGAAATGTGTGAAATTACACAATGAAATATGTGAAATAATCATTTTCAGATGTTGAAAGATGTGAAATAACGTGAAATTGAATGATGCAATGGTTTTTGATGTATCTAAAATGCTTGTTATAACATTAGGTCTTTTTTTTTCATTTAAAAGCCCATTATGCCCAAGAAATGGTTGTATCTTTATTCTTCGGGGGTTTTTTTATTTGTTGTTTTTTTGGGTGTACTTTTGTTATTTTCAAAAAATCACTCATTATCATAAGCCAAATACTGAAACATCTCTTTCTTCTATAGCGCTTTGGCAGTAAATTTGGTCACAGTGATTTAGTTTTTTGTATGAAAATCAAAATACTACTTTGTTTACATTTTGCTATTTCTATAAAAAATCTTTTCACATTTAGTGCTTCTTTCTTCTGGTAACCGCATCTAACATACTCTAAAGCCATTATATAAATGTAATGAAATTAATGCTTGCCCTTTCTAAAGAAGTAAAAATTCATCTGTTTCTGAGGCATAATGTACTTTCAATAAAATGTAAACAATTAACTGAAACACTAATTACAAAATCTATGATTCACATATTTTGTATTCAAGCTGTATTTTTCAATGTACAAGAAGTAAATTGATAAAACCAGATCTTTTAATAAATTTCATTTCAAACAAAAAACGATTCTGTCTATTATGTTATTTATTCATAACCTCTACATTCCTTTAATCTCTGTTTTGAATAGTTGAACAAAAAAATTATCAATAACTGTGCCATAAATCAAGCTGAAAGTTTTACCTTTAAAAACTGCATGCATAGACCATTCCAATTTCCAAGGGAAAAAAAATATTGAATCCAAAAAACATGCATTATTAAAACTGCTCTATGCACTAAGATTACAGGGTCTTGATTCTAAAGCTTTTTAAATGTTAAGTGCCATACTAACATAAGTAAATTCAGATAAATAAAGTAAATACTTTAACTTTGCATGAAACTACTACAATTAGAAACATATCATGTGCCTGTCTCATAAAAATGCCAAACATGCATTAATAAATTTCATTCCATCCCCCAATTATTTTTTTCTAAATCATTCACGTTATTAAGCAATGAATTCAAGTTCATTTTTATCTATAAAAGTATGTTTTACTACTAATCTACGTTGTAATTCTAGACCAGTCTGGCTAATTTGAATTTTCAAGCTCTATTATTGGTCCATTTCAAATCTTTACAAATAATCAACCAATCAGATGGCATCATTTTGTGACTGGTTCCAAATCTAAATTTTTTCTCAAAATAATGTGATTGCAATCACCACAAGGGCACACACAAGGCTATAGTATAAAAGTATAAAATCCATACAAATTAAAAGAAAATTTTCAAACAGCTACAGCAAAACAATAGGTTATTAGATAAACTACAACAGTTTTTTAATTTGCTTTTCTTTTCTGGTAAATTCTTTTTTCTTACCCTTCATCATCATTTGAAGCTCCCTGCAAACCACCTGCACTTCGAGGACTAAAATAAACAAACATTTAAATTTCTGATCAAAAACACCTCAAAGAATGGAACATTTCTAATATACAATATTTAAAAAAATAATTTTTTTTTTCAATTTTAAACAATTTATCAAATTAGGTGGTTTTCTGCATTTTACCCAATCCTTTAAATGGCCATGATAATATTTACATTACACAATTTGTATTATAAACACATTCAGATATTCCGTTTTCTTCCATTTCTAAAATATCATTCATATTGTCATAAGACCATTCTTATTGACTTAAAATCATTCTTAGTGACTTAAGTCCATTTTTACTGTCTTAAGACTATTCTTATTGTAATAAGACCATTCTTATTATCATAAGACCATTCCTATTGATTTAAGACCATTCTTACTGATTTAAGACCATTCTTATTATTGTAAGTCCATTTTTATTGATTTAAAACCATTCTTATTGTTGTAAGTCCATTCATATTGACTTAAGATCCTTTTTACTTACTTGGGACCATTCTTATTTACAAAAGACCATTCAACAATTCTTATTGACTTAAGACCATAATTATTGACTTGAGTCCATTCTCATTGGCTTAAGACCTAAAGATTTGCCTTCAACCTTTCCACTGGTTTACATTTCTTTATTTATTTTCAGTTTTTTTCTTTTAATCAATTTCATCAGTAAGTAACACATATACATGCAACAAATATCTTGTTTAAAACTTCAACAGCTTGTGCATCATTTCAATCAACAGCAAACTAAAGAGGATGGGTTTTGCTTTAATGTGAACATTAAATTTATTTGATGCAGTTTCACCACTGTACTAAATATCAGGAGATTTTTTTTTTCAGAATAATTTTCTTCTTTTTTTTAAAAAAAAATATTTTGTTTCAAAACATATCCCTGTCAAAGTTAGGTCAATGTCATATAGACATAGACCATCCTGACATTTATGATTTACCTTAGTGAATGTCAAGGATATAAATATATACTGCAGTATATATATACACTTTTTTCATAGCTGTGACCTTTTATTTTCAGCATGCAATTTTGTATGAAAGGTTTCGTGATTTTTTTTTGCAGTGGAAAATAACAAAATGTTACTGGTAAACAATATGGAAAAATTCTTTCATTATAATTCCCATTTATGGAAGTGCTGTGCCAAAGTTTTTCTTATGCAGCTTATCAAACAAGAGCTTTTGTGTGAGAAAAGACTGGTTACCAAACTCTTGTTCTACAGACAGGTTCACAAATTGACAAAATCTTTTTAAGATGCATGACTGGTTACCAAACTCTTGTTCTACAGACAGGTTCACAGATTGACAAAATCTTTTTGTGATGCATGACTGATTACCAAACTCTTGTTCTACAGACAGGTTGACAGATTGAAAAAATCTTTTTATGATGTAGTCTGGTTACCAGTCTCTTGTTCTACAGACTGGTGCACAAATTGACAAAATCTTTTTATGATGTAGTCTGGTTACCAGTCTCTTGTACTACAGACTGGTGCACAAATTGACAAAATCTTTTTATAATGCATGACTGGTTACCAAACTCTTGTTCTACAGACTGGTTCACAAATTGACAAAATCTTTTTATGATTTAGTCTGGTTACCAGTCTCTTGTTCTACAGACTGGTGCACAAATTGACAAAATCTTTTTATCATGCACGAATGGTTACCAAACTTTTGCTCTTTTACTCTACAGAATACAAATATATGTTACTATTTTTGTACCCTCAAGGACAATGGACAGGCTGTCTCATTAAAACTTAGATATTGAAATCCCTTAAACTTCTAATGGACTGTGCCACAATCATAGCAGGACAAGTTCATTCGTTACACAAAGGTAAAGATTTAAAATCAAAACTTTCACAAATTAAGTCTTTTGTCACACATCTACATACTGGACCATTACCAAGTGGACAATGCACTTATATACAAGGAAGCCATAAAAAGATTCAAGCAGGTAGAAAAGATTGCCAGTGCATGGAAAGGGAGACAATTCATTCACGAAGCAATGCTATATATAGTAACAGCCAGAGCTTGAGAGATATGTGGGTGTCGTTAAAAAATATGTATATAAAATTACTTACCCCTCATCCTGACTTTGTTGCTTTCTGTAAAAGTAAAAAAAAAAGTTTCAATATGATAAAGTTTTTGGTGTGAAACATGTCTTTTTTTAACAATTTGTTTTTTGAAAATGACGTTTCACTTGGCCACTAAAAATTTTTCACTTGTCCACTTAGGATTTAATACTTCATCATGTAAATGTAGATATCTAGATGTAAATAATTAATGCACATACCTTGATCTTTTTGAGGGTGGGGGAGCAAGTTTTGATTTCTCTGTTACGGGTGTTGATATACTGGCTTTACTCTCATTGGACGCTTCACTCTTCGTGTCCTCTGGCTTCTCCGCCTTCACGATCTCTTTGTGTTCCACTGGCGCTTCTGCTGAAACAACCCCATCTTTTAGATTCACTTAATTCACAGGTATTTTTTGTTTAATGACTAAAACTAGTACTGCTTTATTGAGAGAGAGCTTCTCCTAAATAAAGACAGACCTCCTCCTAAATAAAGATAGAGCTCTTCCTTGATTAATGGAGAGCTCCTTCTTAATTAAGACAGAGATCCTCCTTTATTATGACAGAGCTCCTCCTTTATTATGACAGAGATCCACCTTTATTATGACAGAGCTCCTCCTAAATAATGACAGAGTTCCTCCCATATCAAGACAGTGCTCCTCCTAAATCAAGACAGAGCTCATCCTTAATTAAGGCAGAACATCTTCTAAATTAAGACATAGCTCCTCCTTTATTAAGACAGAGCTGCTCCTAAATTAAGATAAAGCTCCTCCTTAATTAAGAGAGAGCTTCTCCTTAAGATAGAGCTCCAATAAATTAAGACAGAGCTCCTCCTAAATAAAGACAAAACTCCTTCATTAAGGCACAGCTCCTCCTCATTTGTCATAGATCTCCTGATATCACATATAACAAGTGGACATACTTGTTTTAAAGCCAATTTTAACACATTTTGGTCATATCTCAGCCATCTGTCCACCAAGCAGACTTAGATACTTAGATTAACCATTTCTGAATCAGCAGTGAGGGACAAATGACCATCAGAGTCAATGTGTGAGATAAAATATCACAGAAAAATTTCGCCGCACAGTAAGTGGAAATACAACATTGTGATCTATGAGAAAGTATTTTGTATACCATACTTACTTTTTAAAGATTTCTGGCTCTCATGTGATGTAGAACTAGACATTCCCTGTGACCCAGAATCTGTCAGTGGCGGCGGCCCACCCTGAAAATCCAAAAATAACTACTATTTTAGCAGCCTTCACAAAACTTTCAAGCAGCAAATACAAAACAATCATATCTTTTTTTTCCAAATTCAGAAACATGCTTTTTTTTTGGCTTAATAACAATGGCTTAACCACTAAAGCCACGGAAAATTATATATTTGAACTGATCAATTTAAGATCTGAGTTTTTATTCAACAGACAGACTTTACTTTACTGTATTTTTTTTTAAATGATACAAAATTTTTAATGTTTCATAATCTTACAAACAACTTTTGAGCATCTATTCATGATTAATCATCTTTCTTTTAACTAAACAGTAAAAACCCATATTAATTAAAGTGTAAAACCAAAGTGAAAGTATAAATATTTTTGCTGGAACATTGATTTTTCATAATGTATAAAATTATTGTCTCATTTTGGAATATTTTATTAACAGAAAGTACCCGGATACATTTTTTGTGGTCACGATTGTATAAATTACCAGCAAACGTGATATAAAATACCACTAATCAGAAGTCACATAAACATTTATCTCACAAGGCTCTAACATAAATGTTTAAGGTTTCCTCCTCAAGCAAAGGTTTGCGCATTGTTTGTGTTATTAACATAAACTTTTACACGCCCTCGAATTACACATTATGTTGTAATATAACATGTGTTAATAAAGTGGTACAATAACAGTAGAACCTGTTTACTAACTGTTATAGGATTCAAGTTTTACTCTGTCAATGAAAAACAAATACATGTATTAGTAATTTTCAAAGCGTACAGCCTCCCTCCCCCTTAACTAAGCTTTTAAATTTCCTTTCAAATACAGCCACCAGTATGTTTGAAATTTAAACCCCATATAGCAACTTGTGTTAACTTAATGCTTAAGTATGTCAATTTTGACAACATGATTGTGTAGTCAACAACATGATTGTGTAGTCAATATATATTTACATTTTTTCGAATAAAACAAAATTGTGTAAACTTTACACTTAAAGTATGTCAATCAATCTATACAACATGTGTAGTCTTATACATATTTACATTTTTTCATAATTTGCAATTTGTGTTAACTTAATGCTAAAATATGTCAATTCAGACAACATGTGTAGTCAATATATATTTACATTTATTTCGCAATATAACCAACCCGTGTAAACTTTACACTTTAAGTATGTCAACCCAGACAACACGTGTAGTCTTTTAAATATTTACATTTTTTACATATTTACATTTTTCCCCCAGGATAACCACCCCGTGTAAACTTTACACTTACAGTATGTCAACCTAGACAACACGTGTAGTCTTTTAACATATTTACATGTTTTTCTCCCCCCTATTAAAGACAACATGGGTGGGACGTTTTTCCATTTGCTTAAACCATCAGTCTTTAATAAGTTAATGTGAAAACGTAAAATTTAGTGCTTTAACATTTAACGACGTAAACATCTGGCGAACAGGTGAACCGCGTTAAATGTTTACATCAGTAAATCAGTGGACGGCATTTCTTTTTTATTAACCATGTTTAAAATCTTCAACAGATTATTTCCGAACTGCCAATTTATATTTTTTTTATCCCTTCAAGTTTTGCAGTAAGCATTTTAATTTTTTTTTTTTTTTTGGTTTTTACCGGTAATTTTCTGTGATTGAATTGGAAATATCATCTGCGATTGAATCAAAGATTATTTTCTATATATTTCTGTATGACGGGGATTGCTATGAACATTTCTGTTTTCTTCTGTTTGTGTAGGAATCTTAATGACCACTAATTATTAACTGGTAAAACAATCGTGCCAATTCTAAATATGGTCATCTTTCTTGCAGTGATGGCTGTGAAAGATCCCTATGTAAGATTTAAGTCAATGTCCTAAAAAAGGTTCTTAACTCTGAATCTATGTTTCAAATAACCAGTCAAACCTGTGTTAAAAGACTACCTCCTACTAAAGATAACACTGTAAATAAAGGCCACTTTCAATAACCCTTTCTTGATTTACAGAACAAACTTAGGAAAAAAGATCACTTGTATATAAAGGCATTGTTTGATCTCCTTTAAATGGCCTTTGTTCACAGTCATGTTTGTCTCTGTTTAAATATGAAAAGAAATTCCAACCCTAATAGTGACGACATGTTTGTCTCTGTTTAAATATGAAAAGAAATTCCAACCCTAATAGTAATAACCCCACCCTCCTCCCTCTACTGTAGAACGTCATGTTCTCTATTCAAAGCTACAGTATAACTGTAAAAGACCTCATTTGTAACATAATCCTATAGAAACGAGTGGATACAAAAAAAACATACTAAATCGCATTGCCAAATCCATTAAAGACGAGGTAACTTTCATAACAGATCATTACTAAAACCACACCTATTTCTGTAATATATACGTAAATAATTACACAGTTATAAAAACACAGGTGATCTGTATTAACGCGCCGTTTTTTTTCACGCCAAAAATCTGAAACAAACTCATTTCAAAAATTGAGGCGAGAAAAAAAAAAATTTACAATTCCGATGTGTTTATCATGATGTTGCAATGTAAGGCATGAAGTGGGTTTTTCCTGAACACCTGCACGAACGAACACTTCCGTAGTTGCGGCACGTTGAGATCTTTCGTATGGTAAAGATTTCTATCTACTCGATTTAATGAAAATGTGTTTTACGGCGTTTGCAATAAATTAACGGTAGATTTTTTGTTCCGATTTATGGTTGAAAACGGAATGTTCACATATATTTTTTTTTTGTATGTTTCCCAAATAATATGCTTGGGTAAGTTTCAAAACTGCCATGATTCCATGTTCCATGTCAAAAAGCAAAATACAATAGCCTATATTTTAATATGACTTTGCATTAAAGTGGATTGGCCTGCATTAGGCACATTTTCCACAAGTATTTCAAATATTGATAAAAACAATAGAAATGTATCATTCTAATATTCTTATAGAATATTGCTTAAAAAAATGTTGATGATAAAGTTCTAAGTGATTTTGTATGTCATATTTCTATGATTTACATTTATATGATGAATAATAATATTTTGTATTAGAAAATTTATTTTGTCATCTGCTATATAAAAATATATGTAATTTCAGCAATCATGTATCTCACACTTGCCAGTAAACATCCATCTATAATTCTTTAGTGGTTTGTTGTTATGTCTGATAGCGTAATTATTCATTGTATTACAGACCTTCCATTGCAGACCAATTCACTTTAAGTGTAGTGATGACCAATTCATTTTAATAATGAATTAACTTTAGTTTGTAGCAGTCGACCCACATTAATTTTAAAAGTTTTTAAAGTTTTAGAAGTTAAAACCACATAAGAATAGTACTATATTCCATCCATTTTTTTTTATTTACATAACAAAATGTAAATGTCACACTGTCAATGTAGTAACAATGAGGGACTATTGTTCATTAAAAAAAAAAACATGTTAAGAACTGGGCATGCCTAACTCAATTGTTGCCTCTTTAAATAGTCTTCATAATTATTAATATTATCATTATTATTACTTTGAATTATTAATATAATATATGTATAACTGTCTTTTTTTTTTAAAAATCTCCCAATAAAAAAAAAATCTCGTCAAAAATATTATTATTTATAATTATAAATATACAGGCACTATTGCCCTTTGTGGAAATATTGCTGACTTGCACCCACAAAAATTTTTAAAAAAAATTTCATCAAAAATAATTTCTTGATTTTACAGTTGTGCCGAATGATACCACCTGTCTCTGATAGAGACCAGGTTCCGCTGAAATTACCTATATTCAGTAATGCATGTTATTCTATAGTGTCGAACAGCCATCTGTTAGTCGAAGCAGTTCCGTAATTTATTGCGCACAACAATTTGCAATCAAACATTTTATATAATGCCCGCGTCTGTCTTGTAATAAGAACTATTTATAAATTTAGAATCAATCGTGCGAGTGCCGACGTCTGGTAACAGAATAGCTAGAAGGATTTACAGGAGGAAAAATGTCGTAACTGAATTTCATTTTGTTATTTAAGTTTCCATTATGTTCTACTGGATACATAATTTTGAAAAACAAATTTTTCATTTAAAGTTTCATTTCTTTCATTTCTTATCTTCAATATTTGTGATTGAAAACTTTAATTTAATTAATCTCCTATTTATTTATTTAATAAATTTCTTAATTTCAAATATATTTTCACATGACATTTTTTTACCTATCTTATAGTGTTAACATAATTTCAAATGACATTCTTTTATCTAAGTTAAAGTATTAATTCATTTTCACATGACATTTTTTTACCTATCTTACAGTGTTAACATAATTTCAAATGACATTCTTTTATCTAAGTTAAAGTATTAATTCATTTTCACATGACATTTTTTTACCTAAGTTAAAGTGTTAAATTGTTTTCACATGACATTTTTTACCAATGTTACGCCATTTTTTTTACCTAAAATAAAGTGTTAATTCATTTTCATGTGACATTTTATTACCCAATTTAAAGTGTAAATATATTTTCACATGACATTCTTTCACCCATGTTTAAAACTTGTATTTTTTTCCTCTCACTAGTCTCTTAGGCATGAACAGTATCATGTAATTAATTAAAAAGACATGCTCAAATGTGTACAGAAGTGTTTTCCTATAAATTTTGCTGAGTCAACATTTTTTCTTCTCCTCAACTCAACAAGAACCTACCATATGTGGTGACTCGACATGGCCACCGTGTCCAATCATGTTATTATATCCCATATTTCCCATGATTCCATTGGAATGTGACGATGACATCATGTGACCTGGCATCCCAGAATGTGCCGGCATCTGGCCCTCCGCATGGTTACGTAAAACATGTATAGCATCATCTAGTCTCTCCTCCATGCGACCCTAAAATCATATAAATGACACAAATCATGTTAAAAGTAACAAAATTCATGTAAAGAGTCACAAAACATGTCAAGTGAAAGACAATAGTGGCACATATCAAGTAAATTGTGACACAATTCATGTAAACGGTGACAAATTTAGTGAAGAAATACAAAATTTATGTAAAAGTGTCACAAAACATAACATTTGTGACATATATAAAGTAAATTGTGACACAATTCATGTAAATTGTGACAAATTTAGTGAAAAAATACAAAATTTATGTAAAAGTGGCACAAAACATGTCAATTGTGACATATATAAAGTAAATTGTGACACAATTCATGTAAATTGTGACAAAATTTAATGACAATGTTACAAAATTTATGTAAAAGTGCCACAGAACATGTCAATTGTGACACATATCAAGTAAATTGTGATAAAATTCATGTAAATTGTGACAATTTTTAAAGAAAAAGTTACAAAATTTATGTCAAAAGTGACACAAAACATGTAAATTGAGACACAATTCATGAAAATTGTAACTGTTTTTTTTACACAATTCATGTAATTTGTGACAAAATTTAATGACAATGTTACAAAATTTATGTACAAACTGACACAAAACATGTAAATTTAGGCACAAATGCATGTTAAGATATATTAATTTTTTTCCTCTACAAAATTACAATTTTTGAGATGGAAAATATAAACAGTTTCTTGAATACATTTTACATTAAAGTAATAACATTCACATCTGTGGAATCATCTTTTATCTTCGCTATAAAACACAAATTAAAGCCAAATGATGTAATTTTGATGTCTTGTACTTCTCCATTTTCCTCTTATTTTAATGTAATTTTAATATGGTTATTTATTTACATACTGTAATAATATTCAAATATATTTTTCTATAATAAAACAAAATAATCAAAAAAAGGTTCCAATGTCCATAAATTTTATATCAAAATGATTTGGATTTTTATTTGTTTCATTTTATCAAAATTTAAAACTTAAAATTTTAATTCTTATGGCTACTATCAACATGCAGACTATCTTTAAATTTTTCAAAAGAACAAAAAAAATAAAACAAAAATATAATCTGTAAATAAATTTACATAACAAGAGCTGTCCAAGAAGCAGTGAGCTCCTGTTTTCTCAGCGCCGGATAATAAACTGGTTTAAGTATTGTTTTAAGTATTGTAAGTATTGAAATTAAAGACCATAGACAAAAATTTAATCCAAATGGTTAACTAATGCCTACACTGACCACTGAGCGGGTTATTACAACAGCTCTACTTTTCCTTTCAAAAATTTAGCTAAAAAAACGTTATGCATAATGGAATCGTTCAGAAGAAAGAACAAGTATCTATGATTAGAGAACATGAAATATTATGCTTCTATATAGAATATAAAACAAGATTACTCTGTCTCTATGAATTATATATGAGCCGCGTCACGACAAAACCAACATAATGGGTTTGCGACCAGCATGGATCCAGACCAGCCTGCGTATCCCCGCAGGCTCTGGTCTGGATCCATGCTGGTCGCAAACCCACTATGTTGGTTTAATCATGACATGGCTCATATTATGTATGATGCTATAGTAATAAATATAATTTATGCATCAAATTAGTTAAATGCAGGCGTTTTTATTTTCAAACCTCGCCCTCTTCCAGCCCAACCATGATAAAATTGATAACAAAAGACAACAGCATGTTATTCTCTATAAAAAAAAACAACATATATTTATATTCAATTTGAATAAATTTCCAAGAATATAAATAATTTTGATGAAAAGAAATCACAAATTATTTTAATGTTTTTATATGAAAAGGATTTTGTTTTTATATGAAAAGGAGTACAGCTGGAAATATTATATTTTTCATCACATCTAAAATCCCATAAATATGAATATGAATAATACTGGCCAGCAGAAAGCTGAGCTGTATAATAAAAGCTATATAATACTATAAACAATCCCAAACATGAAAAAATTTGAGTTTGTAGAAAAAAAACCCTCTAAACAAAATAAACCAATCAGCTTAGCTCTTACAAAGCTACCTCAAAGCAAACCAATCAGCTTGCTTCTTTCAAAGCTGCATCATAGAAAAGTAGTTTAAAAATAGAAAATTCCCTTTTTTCTTTAAAAAGAAAAGAAAAAAAAAGTATAAATACCCAAATTGGAAAATATGTAACCAAGATATGATAAAAATATTTTTCATGCACATAAATATAATAATGATATGCAAGACAAGTTTTAAAATTCTTAACCCATTTAACCCTTAACCTGCCAGATCTGAGTATGGTGCGCCCTCGCCACTTGTACAGAACTGAGCAAGCCTGTGAATCGGTGCAGTCAAACCAGACAAAAGACTACCGTCGTTGGTTTAATCTTCCTGTTTTACTATTGAAATCTAAATTAACCATTCTGTTCCAAATGGGAATCTAGGCGGTCTAACCAGACTACCGGTAATGACAACTGTCGGTGGTTTAATATTTTTTTTTTGCTATTTTGATACCAAAATCAAATTGAACATGATGACTGTTTCTGCATTAAAAGCCACTCAAATTCATTACAGAAATCCAAAAGGATTTTGCTATTTTCATATTGATATCCAAATTTAAAAATACTGTTTTAATTTAAAATCAAGAATTTTCAATTACAGAAATTCTCGGGATTTGCTATTTTGATTTTAAATTAAATTGCTACTTTTCGAATTAAGTTCCAAAAATTCATTACAGAAATCAAGCAGGATTTTGTTATTGAAATCAAACAGGACTTCCGATTCCGAATCTAAAGCTGCGCAGATCCATTATACAGAAATCCAGCAGGTTAAAGGTTACCAAACAAAGCAGCAAGTACTGCGGAAAAAAAAGTTATAATAGAAATACGAGAGATATAATATAAGCTTATAATTCTTGATTCTCCGGATTATATTACAATACCTACCCCGTTTCCTCGTAATGCCGGATAAACTACCTGCCTCTCCTTCAATTCCTTAATTAATAACCAAAAAAAATAAATTTTATAACCCTTATGAAGATTTGTTGACAGTCGAAACGTCGGTTATCATGATTAAATAAAACCTTAAAACTTATCCTGTGCAGATTGTTTGTTCCACTTTTATCAATTTTCTTAAAAATAAATTTGTGAGAAAAAAAAAAAATATTAAAGTCTGGTTTGGGTTTCGTTCATAACATTGTTAACGTCATATGGCGATATTTCAGTTTTTATTGATGGCACCCATTCATTAAATCCAGATTATCTTTAAGATACTTTACAAACAGCCCCTGAATTAGGAACTGTGGAATAACTTCCAGCAGATGTCAAAAATTTACAACAAAAAATCCTACAAAAATGGGTGTTTGGATCTTTTCGGTCTGTTTTTAACTCCTATCAAATTATATAAGAAGTAAACTTGTTACTCCACTAAGGTGACAAAATATTTCATTAACTGTAAAAAGACTCACTGTAAAAACAACACCCTTTTTTATTTAAAGTAACTTGACATTCCTTCGTTTCTGTTTTTTTTTGTAACTGTTATAAGCTTTAATAACATGACTAAATCTACCTTAAATGAAAACTCAAAATAATAAAACAAAATAGCTGAAACGATAACAAAATTATAAATAAAAACTGCTACGTAAATTAAAATAAAACTTAATTTCTACGGTTCTAAAACAATTGACAAGTTACAGATGGAGTTAGCATGACTAAACGACGATCTAAAACTGTCTCCACATGTTAGAATACAATATCTATAAAATTCTGGTATATTGTGTTTATCCTTATCTGACAAAACCGGAAGTATATAGCCTTTGCCATCAGTGTAGAGCCAGGCTGTCCTAAAGGTCCTTATGGTCTAAACCAGGCGCAAAACTATTTGATATTTTCATTTTCATAACTCCACAAAAAGTAGAATGGACGGTCCCAAAAATGGCTAACATTAAAGCAGCATGCCTCCAGATTCATGCTTATTGTCATGAAAATTTTGGAAATGTATTTGAATGTGTAATATTTTTAAGTAACCAAAAGGGCAATTAACACATCATCAATGGCACTTACAAACAACGTAAATAACCAAAATGTGGTCAAAATATGCATAGATAGCCTTTACTGCATTAGTAAAGCAGTAGAAATATAGTTGTAAATACTCAAAAAAATCAGTCATTAATCGCACATAATATGTAAAATATTACTCGAATCTTGAAACTTTTTACTTTTCCTTACATCTTAGTACATTTTTCTCAAGTTTTATTTTATTGAAATATTTTGTCTCATCTGGAGGCATGTAGCTTTACATATTCATATATCCACAAAATGTAGAATGGATAAGTCCCAAACAATGGCCGACTAAACTTTACATTTTCATTTCTCCACAAAATATATTATGAACAGTCTCAAAAATGGCTAACTATAAATTTTCATATGTCCAAAGTTGGTTAAAGGACTGTTCCAAAAAATGAAAGCTGTGCAAATTCATTTAAGAAATTAGGTTATTAAATATTGTATCCTTAAAAACTAAATTAATTTTTCAGAATTTGGATTTGTAATGGCTGAATATCGTACATATATACCAGAATTTGTTGTGTGCTTTTATTACAATGGATTATAACTATATATACACCATATTTTATAATAAATTATATACATATATTAAACTTACCATTGTGACATTTTGCTTTAAAAATGAAATGGAAGAAGGAAAAAATCAAAATTTATACAATTTGATTTAAAACAGTATGTAAATTTATTAAAGAATTACATCCAAAACAATTTTATTGTCAACACTATGGAAGTGAATAGGGTAGTCTGAAATTTTCATAAATTGTGTATCAACGGGTCTCATGCAATGTAATTGGGTTTCTTTTCCCAATTTGCAACCGTTTTACAATAAGCCTCTTGGGGGCTACAACACAAGTGATGTTGAATACAACACAAGTGATGGCTATGTGATCACAATAACTGTGAAGGCTGTGTCAACACAATCGAGATCTAACGTGACTGCACACATTGTGATGGCTACATGATCGCACAAGTGAAAGCTATGTGACCTCTCCTAAAGCCAGCAAAGAATTAATTTTATCAGGTAACTTAGTGGAGTGAGGAAATCAATGCGTGCACTGAGGGACATTAAGTGGGGCAAGGCATGGTGCCAATTCAAATACAAAAATTTGAGAAACTGTGTACAGTGAAACTGTTATTGCAAACTGAATTTTTCTGGTAAAATAAATAATTCAAAATAAACCTACCAATGAGTGTAAGGGTCCTTCAAACTGCGGTGAGGTAGAAGAAGTTTGTGACGGTCTCTGCCATTGGCTAGAAGATCCTGAAAAAAAAAAATCTATTTTTAGATCCTGCAAAGTCAGACATAATTTTTTTTAACTTTTTAATCAAACTCAAAAAACATCAAAATTTGGCCAAAAAATACATGAAAGTACCGAGAAAATGGTAAATTGTTGGTAAATATGACTGCACATCCCAAAATTAAAATCTCAGTTTGAACCACTTGCTGCTATGTTGGTGGGTATAATGCAACAGACATATATACATAACTATAGTAAGCCTTTACTTAGCTTAAGTAATTTTGATCATTTAATATTCACAAACATGGTACAAAAGATGTTTCCAGTATAAGCTGCAGTTATTACAGATACAAAATCGTAAGTAAGTCTAAGTTTTGAGAGCATTACAAATTATTGGCATTTGGCTTCTTTTTTTTTTACAGGCACCTGTCAAGGTAGATTGATGGTAAATTAAATTAAGGATTATACACCCTAATGAACGGGTAATAATGAACAAATGTTTGGTAATATTATAATAAACCCTCATGCTGCCCTCGGTACCTTTTTGACATTTTTTTCATATACTGATTTTTTGTATTCTTTCGACTTTTTTGACACCTTGAGTGTTTTCCACAGTGACATTATTATTTGTAAAAATACAAAATGGTGGTGGGCTCACAAGCGAAGTCACTGGGTCTGTAGTCCCTATATTCTCACCTTAGTGCGATAACAGAATAAGTCCATCTAAATTTAATAGGAGTTAATCAGTTGTTGTACTAAGGCGACGCAGGCTTGTAAGGGTATTTCGTAACATTTCGCATAATTTATATCAAAATCAAATTATTATTCTAGGCAATATTATAATATTAGTCTAGAGAATATTTTTGTCACATTGTTTTACAAAAACAACCTCTCAAGGGTCAGTAGCCCCCTTATAAGGGCACTTCTTACCCTTTATCAAAATCAAATTATTATTCTCGGTACTTACCTGTCATGGGGGAAGGTGATGATACTGGGGTGGAGGGATTCGAACCATAACTACTACTGGTATGGTCTGTAGAATATATCTGAAATACAGAGCATAATATATATAATATACCATTTCGTCCATTTTTTTTTAATAATGCCATACTGAATATTTTCAAATGCATCCACCTGAAAATATCTAGCTGAAAAAGTGTTAAATTTCTATCATCTTCTTGTATTTATGTGAATCAATCCTTTTCTGTCAAAAATAATACACCATACAATATGCAAGTGATATATTTACTGCCCCCCACACCTCTGTTAGAACCAATGACTTTTTGTAGGTAATCTTCCACTTATACTTTGTTGTGTATTAAGTCTAGTATACACTGACACACAAGATTTACTCACAGCTTAGTTCAAATATGGGTAGAAATAACTTTCTGTTTGCACAAACAATTCATTTTCCTTCACAGGATTTGAACCCACAGAGGACTGGTGCACTGCAAGCATGGAAAGTCTGAGTTCACAGGGGACTGGTGAACGGCAAGTGTGGTAAATCTCCCATATTTATCTATTACTCCAGTTTTCTGGTGTTTTGGTAACATTCCGGTGTTCCGGTAGTATTCTTGTATTTCCGTTAGTTTTGTGATATAATTAAAGCACTAAAAATCAATACTTACAGAGGCTAAAGCTTTCCCTAATGCATCTCCTGTTTGTGATGACCCTTGACCCTGGTTGCCAGTGGTTACTGATGATGATGAATTGGTATACGTAGCTGATGATGGGGGAATTGGTTGACCTCTGAAGGTCGACATTGGTGGAAGACCAGAATTTAATAAATCTTGGTTAGGTGATACTGGATGGGGATAGCCCTGAAATATATAATTATATATTTAAAACATGTGTTACTAAAAATAGATTTATTTTTTTTAAATCTATATATAGTAACAAACATTATGATGTGAAAGGATACCCTGGCTATCTGAATTCTATAAATAGAAAATAATGATGAAAATGAGGTTACATATTTTGAATAATTATCTATAATTATATAAAGAATAATTAGAAACAAAACTATTCAGAGCAGACGCAATTGTTACATAACTTCATGTTAACAGATGGCTTATAATTATATAGCATACAGTAAAAATATTTTCAATCTCTTGAAAACAATAGCAACTCTTCAGTGGTTATATATTATTGGCCATATATTAAGTGGTTATTGGCCATATATTTCAGCACATGCACCGATGAAACTGCGCCAATAATGCAATTAAATAACTGCTTAAGTCATCAATCATAAAAAACAAAATAAATATTATTTCCTCAATCATCAATACACACTATGGCGTCTGCTTCAATATTGACCTTTGACCCTTTGGTCATAAAACTTTGACATAGAATAAATTTCAAAACCACACTTTACATCATGGCAATGAAGTGAATTTCTTTATTTCATAAATGCATTAAAATTGTCAAAATACGTTTTTTGCTTTCAAGCATAGACTGAATTTTCTTTCGAAATTTTAATTATTCTTTATTAGATTTATATTTTTTTAGGTTTTTTTTTTTTGTACTTTATCATTATCACCTCATTAAAATTACTTCTTATTTTAAAGTATACATTATAAATAAACATATTCAAATAAGCTGTCAACATTTAATAGATTAAAGGAGGGGGGGCGTGTGTTTTTAATCAGTGTTTTCTACCATCTCTAAATAGAAAGCAGACGCTCTAATGTTTTACACATTTTAGACTTGTCAATCCATCGCTACTGTACAACACAAAGAAAATTAAATCATAAACATAAAACGTCTTAATAATTCAAGCGTCCAATGCATCACTGACGTATCTATTTAAAAGTTACACGGAACAATGATTCAGTGTTACATCGTGCAGTCCCGCTATAATTTATGCGAGGTGCCCTCTGAAAATGCCTCAACTCATTCTTTATTATACATGATAAAATGTCGGCATTTTTTTTGTTCTGCTGAATTTTTTTTTTCCATTTTTTTTTTGTTGCCGATTTTTTTTTCCTTTTTCTTTTTCTTGTTTAAACCTTCCGCGGCATGTTTCACGTATGATAAACTTTGCAGTTTCCTGTTTTTCCGGCCGCGTCAACTCCTGACGATATACAGATGTCGGAAAAACGTTCCCACTTTTCACTGTTTTTCCTACCTATGAAAAATTATGAAACACACATGTGGTGTGGCTAATTTATTTTGCTTACTGCTGGAAGGAGGCTTGAGGAAACCGTCTGCTGTAACCGCTATACGATAACGTCTGCTTTTACAATTACAGAGAACTACATACAGTAAATTGTTTTCCCGCCAAAATATTTCATCGACAATATTTCCTGCTCCTGTTACCAATTTTCTCATTTCCTGATCAATGGATCCAATATGACAAACAATATATGTTGTTGACACATTTTTGAAAAAGGAAGGATGGCTCATGCCTGATTTGTAGAATTTTTCTTCCTTATTTTTTTTTTTTTTTTGAAAAAATATTTAAAATTCCTACTAGAAAATGAAAGACATCATCTTTTCATGCTTTTAACTTTTCTGAAATGAATTCATTAAACATTCTTCAAACTTTTGCTGAAAGGAATTTTATTAAATACTCTTTAAAGAACTATTTAATAAACTCATTCCAGAAAAAGTTTAAACATGTTAAAATGTTTAGTGCTTTCAATTCAACTAAGAAATTTGAATTTTATATTTATTATTTATTTTTGGTCCAAAATAGCTTGATATTAAGTCCATGATTAATACAGCTGTTGAAATATAACAATAATTTTCTTTGTAAATTAATGAAATTTTAACATACATTTACATTTATACTTTTTTAATAATCATTTCAAAAGAAATTTTTCATGGTTATTTTTTCAAAATACTATATCTATAAAGCATTTTCTTTTTATAAATATATATGCCCTAACCCTACAATATTTGTGCAATGAACTTGTCCTTCTTTGAATTTGGGACAGTCTATTAATAGTTCTAAGGGAATTCAGGATCAATATACTGAAATTAATAGCCGCCAACAGTATAAAGTATGTTCAGGTTAACCCGATAGACTGGTCTGTCTCTATACTGGTGGAACCAGTCTATCTTTTTTTTTTTCAATCTTAGAACTCAATGGATTAATATAATTTCGTTTGATAGGAGCATTTACCTTTTCATTAACATCTAAATTAAAAGAATTTCTTACATAAAGAAGACATTATTTATTATAACTCCCAGCGAAAAAAAGCAAGGACAAACTATCAATTTTCAAATTACGAGGTTCGGAGAAATATTTCTTTATCGATCAATCCCATTCAAACCTATATACCTGACATACAATATGGGTTATATGAAATACAATACGGGTTTCTAACAAAAATAAAGATGTGCTCCGTTGGTTAGCTACATGATGAGCTACATGATGTACGTACACTTTTTTTGGGAGGATCGTATATCACGAAGAATGGCGTTTTCATTAGGTCTCTGTTTATCTCATTACATTCTCGTATCCTAACACATTTACCAAAACCTGTAGCCCACTGAGATTTCTGATGCATTTACCAGGGCACCGATTTCTCATATGTTACTTCTTCGCTCAATAATATATATATCTTCTTTTTTAATATAATGATTTTGCAACAAACGGTACAACGTATATATATTAAGGTAACTGAACCATTGTCTTCTGGAGGCGAGGCAGACATACCACAGCTTAATGACCCCGTCTGCTGCAATTTTGTAGAATATATAGGTCAAACATGTGATCAAGTGGAAACCAGCAGTGATGGTGAAAGGAAAGTTCGTCACAGATGTTATGACACAGAAACAGTCTAAGTTATCAGCTTTTGCTCATTAAAGAACCCAGTGGCCCCTGTTAAGCATTTTTTTAAATTTGAAGAAAACATTGGCCTCTATTGAGCATTTTTTACAGTTTGAAGAAACCATTGGCCCCATGAGGCATTTTTTTAAAGTTTGAAGAAACCATTGGCCCCATGAGGCATTTTTTTAAAGTTTGAAGAAACCATTGGCCCCATTGAGCATTTTTTAAGTTTTAATAAAACATTGGCCCCTATTGAGCATTTTTACAGTTTTAATAAAACATTGGCCCCTATTGAGCATTTTTACAAATTTAATAAACCATTGGCCCCATTGAGCATTTTTTTAAATATTGAGAACCTAGTGACTAGTATCTCTTATAAGTTACAAATGGGAAACAGTTAATTCACTGACAAAATCCTTTGGTTAAGTTGATAAATTTTTCAAATTGAATCAGTCATTGTTATGCATGAAATGTGACATTAATTGCTGATAAATCAATGTAAGGTTACGGCCCTGTTACAGTTGATATTTCAATGTCAATGAAATGTTAGGTCTCTAATGTAAGGTTACGGCCCTGTTACAGTTGATATTTCAATGTCAATGAAATGTTAGGTCTCTAATGTAAGGTTACGGCCCTGTTACAGTTGATATTTCAATGTCAATGAAATGTTAGGACTCTAATGTAAGGTTACGGCCCTGTTACAGTTGATATTTCAATGTCAATGAAATGTTAGGTCTCTAATGTAAGGTTACGGCCCTGTTACAGTTGATATTTCAATGTCAATGAAATGTTAGGTCTCTAATGTAAGGTTACGGCCCTGTTACAGTTGATATTTCAATGTCAATGAAATGTTAGGTCTCTAATGTAAGGTTACGGCCCTGTTACAGTTGATATTTCAATGTCAATGAAATGTTAGGACTCTAATGTAAGGTTACGGCCCTGTTACAGTTGATATTTCAATGTCAATGAAATGTTAGGTCTCTAATGTAAGGTTACGGCCCTGTTACAGTTGATATTTCAATGTCAATGAAATGTTAGGTCTCTAATGTAAGGTTACGGCCCTGTTACAGTTGATATTTCAATGTCAATGAAATGTTAGGACTCTAATGTAAGGTTACGGCCCTGTTACAGTTGATATTTCAATGTCAATGAAATGTTAGGTCTCTAATGTAAGGTTACGGCCCTGTTACAGTTGATATTTCAATGTCAATGAAATGTTAGGTCTCTAATGTAAGGTTACGGCCCTGTTACAGTTGATATTTCAATGTCAATGAAAAGTTACGACACTCTAAATTTGTGACGACCCTCTAAATTTGTGACGTTCAGTTGATATTTCAATGAAAAGTCACAATTGTCCTCAGTCTTAAATGTACTTACCATTTCATGGGGATGTAGATTATTGTGTGAGGAGGATTGAGTGAAGTTGCCAGGCAACATGGAGGCAGGATATGTGCTTGTTGAACCACCATTAGACCATGGTATAGACGATCCTTGTGGAGGTCCTTCTGAAAATATAATAATACATATAACACAATAATACATATAACATAATAATACATATAATACAATAATACATATGATACCGGTCTGCACTGTTCAATATTTGATATTTTTCCCACTAAAACTGATAAATTGGTTTTTGTCTAGATTGAAAGATGGAATCGTTTATTAATCGAGGATTTACAGCAAAACTGCAGTTACTTTTATGAAATAAAGAAGGACTTATAACAGTTTTGAGATTAGCCCTCAATTTAAGATATTTAGCTCGGAAAGGGTTTATTTTGTCTTTAAAACAGACAACCTGAGTAAAATCACTCACTGACCTTGCATAGAATCAATGCCTTCCTATAATGTTTACATAAAAAATTCTGTTTAAAACAAGCTAACAGGTTACTGTGACCTTTTTGCACTAGAAAAATGTATTAGCCTAACAACATACTGCATTTAGACATTTAAAACATTCGTATAATGTTTACATCCAGTAAACATCCGGTAAATCATTTGACATACTCAAATTCTCTATGCATTTTACATATTTTGCTGCTCGTTTTTTCATACACAATACAATAGGCAAAACAAAAATCATCATCAACAAAATTGTAAAATTAAAATGAAAATAGATAGTTATGCACTTTTTTTCCCCTACACAATGGAAACAAATTGTTTTAATGTAAGGCAATAAATTTTATAAAATGGTATATCAATCTTAATGTTAAGTGAAATTTGTGATGTAATTCGACTAAGAGCAATAAAAATTCTTCTATATTTGTATCACATAAAGCTCCCACATGACTTAGAGCAATTAAAAAATCTCAGTCTTCTAAATGCTTTCTTAATCAGTACGTCAAGGAATGTCAACATCTCTCCAAATAATACAGGATGGATTGGGTATCCTAAATTCACATATTGAAGTTTTTGAAGAATGTCTTATTTATCAATAGAGTAAAATGCTATATTGTAACCTTAGTGCAGAAACTGGTTAAGTCCTTATATTATTTAATAGGAGTTGACCTGTTATTGCACTTAGGTGACAATATGTTTTTTACCAATTCAAAAATTTGAGACAGTTGGTCATTATTTTCATATAGGAAACAATGTGGGCAAGAGAGTGGTGGGCAAGACATCAAGGCATATGCTTCATCCCTAGGGTTCATGGGTTCGAGCCCTACAAATGTTTTACAACCAAGTTTTCTTGTACGACACCAGTACTTGTAAGTTCCAGGAAACAGACTCAAGAGTCAGCGGTTCAAATAAGTTTCAAACTTTCAACAAAATCAAGCTAAAATGAACCTGATTAAAAATAAACAATGTGATAATAAAAATTCATCCTTACCCATAAAATAATTGTCTCCTGGGTACATGGGTTTGGGTGATGTATATGACCGACCAGGCGACTCCTGTCCATAGTCATCCGGGCCTGGGGAATACACCTGAAAATAAGACAAATGAAATCGTTCTTTGTAATTTGCGAAAACAATAATATTATTATGCACTTTTCAATCTGTGAATTTATTTTTCCTCTTATCATATAATTATGATATTGGCATACATGTGCAAGAATTTTTCATGTTAAAACTATCATATTGGCATATAACTATGATATTGGCATACATGTGCAAGAAGTTTTCATGTTATAACTATCATATTGGCATACATGTGCATGAATTTTTCATGTTATAACTATCATATTGGCATACATGTGCAAGAATTTTTCATGTTATAACTATCATATTGGCATACAATCATGTGCATGAATTTTTCATGTTATAACTATCATATTGGCATACATGTGCAAGAATTTTTCATGTTATAACTATCATATTGGCATACATGTGCAAGAGACCATATCTGAATAAAAATATTAAATGTAATATATGTATGGAACCATCATCATTCTAGTTTCCACTTTTTGACAAATTTTCATACAACTAAAATTTTACTTATTAACAAAGACCAATATTTTGCATTCCGAAACTGGGAAAATCCATTTCGGGCAATGAAAACACAGCAGAATAGTTGAAAATCTTAAGGGTCTGTTCAAGGGAGACAAATGGAAAAAGCATCATCCTTGCAAGTCCTTGAATGTTTATAAAAATTGTCACACTTTAATTTACCCTCATCTTATTATCAATATTTTCATTTAAGCTAAAACAACAATACAGCAGAGCAATTTATCCAAAAAGATAATAAAGAATAATCAAAGCAAACATATATAAATATTAGAGTTGGGTACCGCCAGAAAGAAAATACCACGGTATACCACGGTTTTTTCCTAAAAACCACGGTATAAACCGCGGTATACCACGGATTTTCATTGTATGCTATAGGTTAATTTTTATCCCTAAAATAAGTATCAAGGTAGGCTGGTATAGAATTTCAAATATTAAATTTAAGCAGATCTAGAAAATACAGATTAATCAAAGCATCATTTAACTTTTTTCAATCAGGTACTTTCGCATGTTGACAATCATAAATTAATTGGGTCATGGATCATGCAGTTCTTGGTTTTTGTTTGTTTTTTTATTACGTATTTGTCTCTTTCAACATTTAACATTTGTTGTACAAATTGCATAGTTAAAATGGAAAAATAAAATGTTTTTATTGCTTATTGATTAATAAAATAATAGGTCAAATGCACGTTAGCCGATGACAAATATTTATTTGTCGGTTAATTTTATAACAGAGTCCCAGCTGTTATTGTAATTTTTTTATTGCAAGGGCTAAGTATTTAATTAATCTGTGTCAAAAACCAAAACAAACATGTACCCCAAAAGCAAATTAAAATTATGACATAGAAAACAGCTGACCATGTTACTGCTTAATTAATATTCATTAGTTGAACGAACATTACTTTTAATCCAGTTTCTACGCCGTTCTATAATTAGTTAATTGCCATGCGCATGCAGTAAGTGCGTGACGTAAGGAAAACCCCAAGCCTGATTGGTCGCTATTTATATGAATACTTAAAATAGTAACATCCTAATTTTATGCAAGGAATGCCCTCATGAATTATCAATCTTTACGTTTAGTTTTCGTATCAAATAAGCGATATTTGGACAAGTAAATGTAAGTCGACAATAATTGCTTCTTCAACTGAGATCATGCCAGTCGACAATTCTTGCTTACATGCGGTAATCGATAAAGCATTCAATTTTCGCTAAGAACTATCGAAGAATGATAATAGTCGGCGAAAGTTGTTTGCAAAAAGGTTTACTCAAAGTCAAAGAAACATTAACATATACAACAGAAAAAGTTTTTTAATTTAGTACATTTTACGGATCTGTAATTGCTTTAAATTAGAGCTAAAAGTACCGGTTTTCCAGGTCTGTACCGCGGTACGTACCGCAGATGTCTCGGACCGTGGTTTACCGGTATACCGGTTAAACCGCGCACCTCTAATAAATATACTATACTTTCTCAAAAGATTTTTCCGGATTTCCAACATGTATGTATTACCTTTGATATTCAAACCACATTGTTTATAAATATGTGAAGTGTTGCAAAGAATAAAATAAACAACAACAACAATAAAAGTGTAAAAACACCAGTAAATATTTATCTCTTGCTTCTTGCCAGAGATTTTTCTGTTAAGATTTTAATCATATAATCATAACCAACATTGCATTGGATAAACTAATCTATGGTGACATTCAAATAACATCTTACAGTCACTCTCTAACTATTTTTATCTGGAAATTCAAAAAAAATCAGGAAAACCAGTTAAATGCCATCTGGATATAATATCTGGTTGAAATCAAATGTAAATCTTTTACAAGAAATTTTGATACAACTTAATTCCAGAAATCAAAAGTCAGTCACAAAACTGCCCTAAATACTGCAATATTGTATCAAATTTCTGGAGAGATACATGAGTTTTGCAAGTGGAAACTGAGTTCCGGAACAGGGATATGGTTTTAATCTTGGCAACTGTTAAGTGTAGACCTCACTTGATAAAATTAAAACCATGTGGATTTAACACTTTTTGAAGAGCTCCCTCTCAACAACATGTGAATCTAATTATCAGGAAAGAACCCAAAGATGTGATAAAAAAAACCTAATTATCAGAAAAGAACCCAAAGATTGTGATACAAAAAACCCAAAGATTGTAATAAAAAACCATCTCCAGGCTGCTTTTTTTTTCATATAATTTATAGCATAAAAACATTTAAAGCTGTCATTCAGATCACCTGCTTAAAATTAACAACAGAAATCCTAATTTTCGGAACAAAACTATGAAAATAATAGCAAATAAATTATGCCAAGTTTTATAACAACCCACTGAAAATTCCAACAGAAATATGCAACAATTGCACATTAACAATGTACAGATTTGGAGAACAATTCATATCATGAGAATAAACACTAAAATCAGGACTGTGAGAAATTTTGATACATATTTTAGTTCAAACTGACCTGACCATATACAGTACGAGTAATTGACTTAATTTCTTTTCATTTTGGGCGCCATTTAGTATTCCGTAGTTGTTGTTATTTTTTTTCTATTATAATGCCCAGCAAAAAAACGTTGTTCTCTCTTTTTTTAAAAATATTACTAGTCAACCTCATATAATAACTTACGGAATTAACTCCGGACAGTTTCGTGGGCAAGTACATCCCGAACGGCCTATATATAGAATATGGCGAGTACATCCTTCGATACCAGCTAGAGTGGCTCCCCCTGTCCACCATATTTTATCCTTTTTTTATTCCCTCAACACACTAATTAATAGTTCTCGTAGATTTTTTTTCAATCATACAGTATTATAGTATAATATACACAGTTCATACGCGGAAAGTAAGCAGAAACTACGATACTATTACTTGACAGCATCAAGTCTGACCTCACTTTCAGATAATTTCGGAAAGTAATTTTTCTTCATCATCCTTTGAAAACATTCATTTTTACTGAGATTTTCAGGTTTTTAGCATTTGTCCTTTGCTTTTTTTTACATCAAATTATGTTTCAGTTGTAATTTAGATAATGTTGATATCCGCAAAGTATTTAAAAAACGTATACATGTATAACACAATTTTTTCTGGGTAAATTCTCCGACAGAATATGCACTTGAAAAAAAAACGTATTTGTGTATATTTTCCAGTGAATAACATAAAAATCCTTTTATTCTAGTTTGTAATTACACTTTCACTTGTTTATTTTGTTCACTCCATTTTCCATTTCATTTATTTATAAAAAGTTAAGTATGAAACCTGTTTAAGAAAAAATAGAATATAAAACTTTAATGCAATACTTAAAGATGAAAGAATTTATATACTTATATATTCCCAGAACTTATTACTAGTATTCACTTTTCTAACATCTTTTTTGTAACACCTTCTTAGAAAAGTACAAAACCCTTAAAATATCCACTTATTAATAAAGTAATAAATTTCCACCCAACTAGATTTTGTACCTTTGAGATTATTTTACCTAAACTACATCATATCCTTATTTTATCACATATATAAATTATGTTACACTATATCTTACAAAATCCCCTTCCATAATTATCCTGTACTCCCCAATATCAGCGAAAAATTTCAAAAATATCATTTTTTCACTGCACATTCTCTAACATATATAAATTACATTATACATGTATTTTATCTAACAATATCCTCTTCCTGTTATTCTTCCCAAAATGAGCTAAAAATTGTCCCCAATTTTCCTATAACGCACGTTCTTACATTTTTTCATTACAATGTATACATATAACATACATTATTACGATTATATCTTTAAATATCCCTTAACGTAACCATTCTCCAACCGAAAAAAAAAACAGCAAAGAAAAAGTATCACAATCAGACATTAAAGTTGCTAATTTTTCCATGTTCGTTGAGTCACATGCGTAATTTGAACAGTTTGACATAGAAGAGTGGTGTATAACTTTTATCAGTTTTGTTGTTTTCTTATGTGTTGTAAAGAAAGATATTGTATTGTGCTTCAATTGTTTTAATGCGTTTTTGAAACAGCAGTGTGTTATGTATCACCTTCTACAGGAAAGCATATAAAAAATATTTGTTTGTTTATTTGACACTTAAACGGAGATTTTCGATTTATACAGTATATGACAATTACTTTATAGGTGGATAACCACACTTTGGAAGAAAATTTTTAAAACATATTTCACTTTTCAGTGTAATTTTTTTTCTCTATTGTTATTTTTTTTATTTATTTCATTTTTTTTTTACTTTTTTTGTTATTTTATATTTTTGAAAATGTTTTTCTTAATTATTTCTTACTTATTTTTATTATTTAATTGGGTTTTTTATCGCACCAACATATAAGTCATATGACGACTTTCCAGCTTTACTGGTGGAGGAAGACCTATGGTGCCCCTCTGTACATTATTAATTTCAGGCACAAACATGTACCTGGGTAGAACCATTGACGTTCTGTAAGCATGCTGGATAGCTTCCTCACATGAAA